TTACTGGCTGTGCATATGTATTCTGAAAGCTTCCCTACAGAATGTAAATGGGGCTAGTCCTTTGTACCACCCTAACACATACTACCCTTTTAGCCTGTCTATGGTTTCTATATTCTTTACATTTGTATCATGTAAGATGTTTAAGATAATGACTGCCAGTCTTGGAAAAAAGTCGTGTTCACCTTGCACAAAAAGCAATGGGCATGGGTTTAACAAAGGCAGGGTTAGGGAATATTTCAGGGACACTGGGTTCATCTGCCAGTGGGCAGACATGGGGGCTGTTAGGTACACATGGGAGATCCCTAAGTCAAAGCTAAGTTGGAAGTTAATAACACATATGATTTTAGATCAATTATCAGAGCTTTAAAGTTCAACTTGCTGTAAAAGTTGAGAGGAAGTCCGTTCTATGCTATATGAAAAGCAGGTGTGTTGTGGTTAGAAAGGGTGGGTAAAGGAGACTTCCTTGAGTTTAGAGGTTGTAGATATTATAGAGAATTCTAACTTGGTCTCGCAGGCCAACCAAGAAGCAGAAAAGGAATGAAGCCATTGTTCTTTTTGTGTTCAAACACGGTGTCATTAGCTGTCTATTAAGATTAGATTGTGCTGGCCTCTAGGGATCATTCTAACAGGACTGTCTTTGTCCCATGCATGCAGAAGACACATGACATGTGCTGGGGGACTAGGAGAAAGCTATGGAAAAGCCACAACCTGGGCCTTCTCCCCTGTGCTGACACACCTGCACATTTGGCTGGAAGGCTATTCGGAGCCTGAAGCATGTGTGAACGTTATCCAGGGGAGAGGGTCCACAGACTGGAGAATTGAGACAAATAGCCGAGGGAGGCGAGGTAGTATGGGCCTCACAGATTTTGGAGCGATATGTTAAGGTTTGCTGTCCTTATTCAGAGTTTAATGTTAAATACACTTTTATATTATGGACCTTTTTGGCAGTCTGACAAAACCTAAGAACATCTTCTGAGAATAATGTCTTTAGTTAGTAAAATTCATAAGATTGAAAAGGAAACCAGTTATATTGAAATATACCTAGTGAACTTGGTGATGCCTCAAACCAGACTGAAACGACCTTTGTGACATAGAGCAAGTGCTTCAAGAGTGGCCTTATATAGGCTCTAGCAGCAAGCCTGATTAATGCAGTTTCTGATTAATGCTGTTCAAATTCACAAGCCCCTGAGTTCTATCTCTCTACTGAAGAAAAAAAAATGTGGAGTGTTACAAGTCACCCTAAGATTTCAAGCCAGATGAAAGGATTCCATTTTTGGTTTTATTATTGTATGATATTTGCATGTTTGAGTGCAGTCACATATGAGCACAGAGCCCGTGCGGAGGTCAGAGACCAACCATCAGGACTGAGTTTTCTCTTCCTACCTGATGTTTGAGGAAGATTTCTTGCTTCTGCCAGGCTGCATCCTCCAGCTTGGCTGACCTTTGAGTTTCTTCACAATTCTTCTGCCTCTGCTCTCTGTCTCACCATAGGTCACAGATGCAAGCTGCTGCATCTTGTTACTTATGTGTGTTCTTGGGGCCAAACTCAGATTGTTGGGCTTTTGTGGTGAGTGGATTATTTGTAGCTTTATCACAGCATCCCCTTTGTGATATTATGACTCTATGGATTTGTTAGAATTCACACCTTCACACTAAAAAGAAATCTTGCTGTATAGTAATTAATTGACAAGCCAGATTTTAAAAAATGCACTCAGTTGAATCACTAAATGTTCAGGTTCAACTTTTAAAAGGTACCTGCCCTTTGTCAGAAATTGGAGCAAGTGTGAACAATTCCCAATTTGCTAAGTCTGGACTGTGTTGTTATCTACTCACTGGTACAGAAAAGTCCTATGCTTGACCCTAAAATTCTATCACCTCTACTTCAGTGAGTATACAGGCCTCCTGAAACATGTGAGGTGGAGAAAAACTCCTTGATTACACACGAATGTGGAGGCCAGAGTGTCATTCCTCAGGTGCTGCCTATCTTTCCCTTAAGATACGGTCTCTTGATAGCCTGGAGTTAACCTACTAGGTGAGGCTGTCAGAGATGCTGCCTCCCCAGCTCTGGGGTTGCAGTTGGAGGAGTGTGTGTGTGTGTGTGTGTGTGTGTGTGTTTAATGTGGATTTTTAGCTGTAAACTAGGGCCCTGGTGCTGGCAAGACAAAGTTTACTGACTGAAGTATCTCCCTAGTTTAAGTGATACTAAAAATGATTTGGAAAATGTGTATCTGTTATTGGTATGGGACCAGTGAGAGGAGAAGGGAAATATTTTGAAATCAAATCTGTATCTTATTTCATTAAAAACATCCGTATTTGCCATCAGCTTGTCATGGGCTGAAGGTTTGTGTCTCCCAAGTTCATGTGCTGAAATGCAGGTTTAAGTCAGAAACATCCCCGATGACTTATACTTTGAATGCTTGGTTCTGGCCACAGTTTTGAAGGTTATGGATCTTTTAGAAGGCAGAGCCTAACTAGAGGAAGTAGGTTCCAGCCTTTGAAGGCTAAATCGACTCTTAGCAGCCTTTGAAGTTTAAATCTACTCTTCACTCTGGCTTGTCCTTTCTTCTGTCAGTCTGCTACAATGAGAACAGCCTGGCCCTTTTGTCCCTTTGGAGCTGCCCCCCCCATGTGTCCCCACTTGCAATGGACTGAAATACTTCCTCCATGCTTCTATCAGGCATTTGGTCACAGAGGCTCTAACCTGCTGTCAGGAATGGGACTGTCACACTCACATGAGCCCCCCAGTACACTCTCTGTTGTTTGATGACCCAAGACAACAAAACATTGCCTCTCTGCAGCCTGGAAGAAGAAGACCCTGCTCTTTCTCATACCTGATCTTGTACTTTTGGAACAGTGAGAAATAAGTTCCTGTTGCTGGAGCTGTACAGTCATGGTACTTTTATGGCAGTCTACGCTAAGCTTCAGTGGTGATTGTCTTTGGTGGAAGGAATTATGGTCTAAATTCCATTCCATTCCATTGCATTGCATTTCCAGCTCATGTAGCCATTTCAATTGGACTAAACAAGTATTTCCAGGGCACCTCTGGCCAAATCTTATCACCCAAAAAAAGATGACCTCTGAAGTACAAGCCTCACTTGAAGAAGTATGTCACTACCCTAGCTAGACTCAAGAACTTGGTCTTAGGGGCTAGTGGTTAAGGGCATGTACTGCACTCACAAAGGACCCTGGTGGCTTACAACTGCCTATAACCACAGCTTCAGGGAGGACCAATACCCCTAGAGAGAGCCTGAGGGTGCTCACACATATGTATACAAGCTTGCCCTACAGATGATTAAAAATAATACAAACTAAGCTTAACAAGAGAACTTATTTTGATTTTTTCTGGATGTAAATAAAATAACTACTTATTGAACTCATATTGTCTCTATTAAGAAAGCAAACCACCAGCTTCCATGTATCATCTAGTCCAGCGCAAACAGCACATGATACATGCTATGAACACATAGGGGACCTTGGCATTCTGTCACCAAGCTCTACTTTGAAAACTTTTTACAGTCTCTGCTAGGTAGGTGATGGGTGATGTCCTTCTGTATGCTCTGAATATATGTTTCTCTTATTGGTAGATGAGTAAATAAAGCTGTTTCAGCCAATGAACAGACAGGATTTAGCCAGGCAGGAAGTCCAAACAGGGATAGAGAAAGGTTGTAGGCAGAGTCAGAGAGAATGTAGCTGCTGAGGAAGCAAGAGACCCAGGTATCACAATAAGCCGTGAGCATGTGAAGATAAACAGGTTAATAGAAACGAGTTAATAATTAAGAGAGACATAGCCAATAAGAAGTCTGAGCCATTGGCCAAACAGTTTATAATTAATATAAGCCTCCATCTGTTTATTTGGGACTACATGACTGTGGAGCCATGTGAAATAGAACTTCTGTCTTCAGGTAGAAAAGAGTTTGTGATATTTCTGATAAATTCCAGGGATTGAGAAGCTTCTAAAATACTGTTTGACTTCTTAGTCCAATGCAGCATTTTCTGGTAGGAGATTACAAAACAGATTACTATACTTCCCAAATTTATAGTATTTCCTTCAATTGGACTGTCAGTTACAGGCAACTTCAGGAAGTTGATTTCCAGAAGGCAGTAGGAACTGAGTATGTCCTGGAGTTGACAGGGTCCTCATCAGTCATGTACCCAAGACTACTATCGGGAGCAGAGGGTAAAGGATTAGGCTTGGGAAACTGGAGAGCTGCTCCACAGAAGTAGCCTATGGCTTAGCTAGAAATATGGGTGTGTAGCAAAGATAAGGATAATTGCCCTCCCCTCTGTGTGTGTGTGTGTGTGTGTGTGTGTGTGTGTGTAGATGAATATATATGCATGAAAAGGCCCAAAGCAGAGTAAGCAATAACATCATAGACCTTATTCATAATTACTCAGTAAAGTGCCTCCCTTCTCTCCACTGGAGAAGCAGAAATGTCTTGCCCCACCTGTAGTCTCAGGTTAAGTTACCAGGACCATAGGCTAGTGGAATCACAAGGGATTGTTGAACCCACCCAGTCTAACACGTTCTAAAGATGTAAATTGTACAACCTACAGGTGACATCAGGAATCCAAGGTCCAGGTTGCTGTTTGTTTCCCAGCCTTCATTTCCTAAGATTTTTACCCATATGTCCACTTGCAGTGTTTTTAATGTCAGTGCATTTGCCCAACATACAGGGATGTCTCTGGTTCGTTCTTCCTACTGAGAGACCCAACCTTGGTAATGGCACCAGTAGCTGGGAACATCCCAGATGTGACGAGGTTGGCCTGGCAATCTAGAGGCTTCATGATTCACCCCTGTGGCCTGTGAATCCCTGCTGTTCATGTCCTGTCATTCCCTCAACTTGAATCTACATTGATGGTTCTTGTCTGGGTTTTCTGATAAACCTTTCCCTGGTTTTGAGTAATTCAGATATTATGTTGCATTCTCAACCCACCCTGAAATGTTAACATAGCTTCCAGAGCCAAAATCGTAAGACCTGAGAAACAAAATCAGAAACAAATGCATGCAAAGGAATCTTCTGTTATATTGTTACTAACACTGGTTTCTTAAAGCTGTCTTTCTTGCACATTTATCGGAAGCTTTGGTTTTTAGCATTTTGGTCACAGCACTCCCAGTTGGGGGTGTCACCTAGAGAGAGGAAAGCTTCGGATGTCTACCATTTTCTAGAAACCGGTATTTACAAAGCTGAAGAAATAAATTGTGGCCTTTGGTGAAAAACAGTCTCCGTCTGCTCTCTTCTCTGAAGAGTCACTTTATACTGTCACTCAGCAGAATATGGAGACTTCATCTAAAATTGAAAACGGAAATGATTGTTAAGAAAGCTGTTTTGCAAACAAATCAGTTTCAAGGCAGTAAACACGCTTTTGTCTACTAAACAATCTGTAATCTTTCTACCAATTAACTAAGAATTCATTAAAGTAATTAGGGCTGATCAGCCTGAAATAAAAGGCATAATTCAAGTAGATTAAAAACTGTGTTAAGAAGTCCACTCTCGGGGGCAGGCAAAGCGGCTCAGCAGGTGAAAATGCTTGCCCCGAAACACACACAGTAATTAAAAACTAAAACATCCATCCATCACACTAAAAATAATAATATGAAAATGGATGCAACATGTAGCAAAAGTTCAGTTAGATATAGATATGGATATGGATATGGATATGGATATAGATATAGATATAGATAAGGACATCCAACACTGCATGGCTTTTCCATCCTTGGAAGTCTTGAAGAATTTAATAGCATTTGACTTCTAGCCAGGTACCAGTTTCCTGGGCATCCAGATCCCTGCAAGGTTTTGTTCTGTGGTATATGCACCTTATGCAAATCGGGGATGTTGAACCCTTTGACAGCACTGGGGGATGGATGTATTCCAAGTAACATTATAGACGGTGATACAGTTCTTAAAAAATACTTATGCTCAGGATGGAGCGATGGCTCAGCAGTTAAGAGCACTGGCTGCTCTTCCAGAGGACAGGCCTCAATTCTCAGCGCCTACATGGCAGCTCACAACTGTCTGAAACTCTAGTTTCACCTTCACACCAATGCACATAAAACAAAGTTAAATAAATTCATTTTTAAAATACTTATGCTTCTATTGTTCTTCAAGTTCTAGATGGAAGAGCCACAGAGACTGGCTATGAAACAAACAATCAAGAGAAGTTGGGACTTGTGGATCTTGAGCTTCTTAAGTAACTGCCAAAGCAGATATATATAGGCTTTGGTTGTATGTGTCAGGGAGTGGTATGGCCCATGGCTGCACCAGGGAGAGAAGGATATTTGGCCCTCTGATTTTATGGTAAACACCTTAAAGCAGTTCTACAAGCTATGTTGTTTGCTCTTAGTTTCTATACACTTAGCAACTCGCATGCCACACAAACAGCACCTTCTGTTCTAGGCTCTTGAATTCATGTTAGCAACCATGCTTTCTCCTTGCCCAGGCAGTGCTGTAACCCCTGGGATTCACGCCACCTTTGTTTCATTGCAAACACCCTAGACCATTGAAAGGGGGAGGGCATACCGCAGTTTCAATTGTGGCAGGGCTCAGATTTTCTCTCAGCACAGCATATACACTCGGAGACATGGGGAGAAGGTCTGAAGGAGACTGCGGCTCCATGGAATCACTTCGGCTTAAAGAGATAACAGGAGAATATTACAAGGATTATAACATAATAGCTCATGGGAACTTGCTGTGTTCAGGACTCTCTAGTGCTTCATCTCTTTGTGACACTGAGCTGCCTAATTCATCACTTCATATCAGAGCATCCAATCTGCTATGGAATATATGGCATATAAAAAGGCAGCTTTATAATTCCAGCCTTAATAGACTGGAGAGTGTGCCCTGAAGACCGGCTTTATGTGTTCAAAGGAATGAGACACAAAATGCTTTATTGAGCATTAAACATGCTTTATCCTCAGTTATATGGACTCTGATCTGCCCTTAAATCTTTTAGGAAAGCTTTTTTTTGAAAAAAAAAAATCAATTCAATAATAAATATTTTATATGTGACTAAAGTTACTCACATTGTTGAAATGGGGATAAAAACTGAAGGGACATAACCTTTGTCTCCCCGCTCTGTTGGCCTTGAAACTGAAAAAGAAAGGCACAGTGTTAGGAAGAAATGTAAGCATCATTGATAAAAATTGGAAATAAAACATCTAGGAGAGTATCTGCAATGCTCAGAAGAAAATAATATGGTTGAATTGCAATTCACAAAAACTTTTAGTTGAACGGAAGAAATAGCCCCAGAGGCGAATATGAAATGCATAGGCAAGCAATGAAGCTTTTAGCAGGCTGATGTGACTTCACATATTAATGACTAAAATATCTGATGACAAGTGAGACTCTGCTTCATCATCTGCCCTTTCTGTTGCATTTCAGTTTGTCAGTAGTATCCAATTTATTTGCATATCAGGAAATTCATAGTGCTATAGTGTCTCTCAAAGGTCCTTGCCTTAAAGGTTTGCCTGTCAGTCTGTGGGGCTACCGGGGAGTAGTAAAACCTTTAAAAAATGGGGCCTGGAGGAAGGAAAGTCATTAGGTATGTGTGCTTTATAATGAAGATTGAGAGACCGGCCTCTTTATTCTTTGTTTCCAGGTCATATACTTCCATCATGATGTCTCATTGTAGGCCTGAAGGTGATGGGATCAACCTCCATAGACTGAAACCTTCCAAACTGAAAGCCCAGCAAACCTTTGTCTTTGACACACATAGGAACACAGTTCTTTTCATTAAAACGCGCATCATAACCTCATTACTACACAGAGCTTTTGAAGTATGTTCATCAGCTTGCCTGGAAGTAACCATACACCATGATAACCACCACTGTAACACAGAAACACAATGGCCAAACCTTGGTCTTCATGAGTGCCCCATGCCAATCTAGTGCCAGTACAGTGTCCCAGATTTAACTTGTATTGACACTTGTGTTCTGGTCTCTTAGACACAGAGTGAAACTGAAACTGAAAGCCAGTCCTTTGTATTTGTTTTCTTTTGTATTTTATTTGTCTCAGATAAAGTTGGGTGGCAAAAGTTACACTGTCTGTGGTAGCTGTGGAGTATTCCACCAGACAATATCCCATTATTCACTACAGCTGAAGAGCCTTAGAGACTGCACTGTGTTTATCCCTTGGTACCTGGAGGGGGCTGGGCTCTAGGAACCCTGGCAGGTACGGAATCCACAGTGCTCAAATCCTTTGTGTACAATGGTGTTGCATTTGTTTTGAATTTAAGCACACCTTTCTGTGTGCTTTAAGTCATTTCCAGCTTACCTGCAATACTGCTTCAATATAAATGTTGTTTTAATAGTTGTTACACTAGACTGTTTATAGAAGAAAGAAGAAAAGGGCTACATATTCAATGCAGTTGCCATTTTGAAACACTAATGTTGATCTTTGCTTGTCTGAATAAGACATGGAAACTGTGGATACAAAGCTGACTGTGCTTTCATGGGAGAGAATGGTGAGTTTCCTTACCTCAGACAGCTGAGTTTATGAATTTTATTTTATGTATTTACTATTTATTGAATGCCTATTTGGACAGTTACTCTTCTAGGCCCTTAGGGTACATGCAAGAAAAATATGCCAAGGTAGGATAATGAAGCACAGATCCTCATGTCTCTCTTTGGGCAGGGAATAAATACTCTGAGTAAGGATTACAGTAAGGTTGGATGGGGTGTATGACTCAGTGTTACAGTATCGGCTTAGCATCCATTAAAGCCTGAGTTCCTCTCTCCTCTCTCTCTCTCTCTCTCTCTCTCTCTCTCTCTCTCTCTCTCTCTCTCTCACACACACACACACACACACACACATACACACACACACACACACATACACACACACACACACACACACACACAAACACACAGAGTGAGAGAGAGGTGGGGAGAGAGGAAGAAGGAGAGAGAGATTACAGTAAAGTTTCTTTACAAAATACAGGTCTACAGACCTGCCTCATTTTCCTGAAAGCTTGCCATCATCAGCTCCTCCTTCCTTTCCCTGAGCCATAGAAGTGCAAAGATCAGCACTTCTGTTAGGGAGGATGAACTCCAGGCTCTACAAAGGGTGAAGTCTAGTTGCAGCTATGAATATTAGTCCACTAACCACTGACATAGCACCTCATTTCCTGAGACTCTACCTCCATCTGACCCAGGGATATTACAAAGATCAAAGTAAAGAACAAGAGGCACTTCACTCGCTTTGCTCCAATATGACATCATTTCCCAAAATCTCAAGAGGAAAGTAAATACAAAGTGCATCACCTTCACATGGCTGGGAGCTGTAGTGTTTACCAAAGGCTTTGTCTTTGGGGATGTCAGGGTAGAGGTACTTCAGAGGGTTTTCAGGAATGTTTTCAGCCATAATAACCTTGTAGTCTCGCAGGATGTCAGCGAATGGCAGAGCTGACAGTCGCCCTTTGTTGTAGGGTTCTACAGAGTGGAATCTCACTTCTCCTGAAAACACAGAAACTGGAATATTTAGGTGCTTTATGGTCATTCCTCCTAACCCCATTTTTCTCCATAGCTAGAAAGTATGGCCTTCTGAAGTCTGGTCAGTGCAGACTGTCTGTGTGAGAGAGGATGGCTTTAGGAACAGGCCAAATGGACCAATTCATATTCAAACCCCTGAGTGTGACTACATACCGTTCTCAGAGTGGTCCACCCAGGTAAAGGTAATCCCTCCAAGATGGCTTTCACTGAATCTTAACAAAAATGTCCCAGGCATTTTATCCTTGAGCAGAAGCCGTTCCTTCTCTTTGCTAACAAAGCCCATGACATACCTAAAATTAGAGCAAGGGGCAAGACATAGTCTCACCTGATTATTATTGCATCTTCACTTATTTCATTCATAAAGAATACACATATACTTTACAATGCATACATATGTAGTATATATGTACAATATATTATTATACAATATTCTCTGAAGAATATGTTTTCCCCTAAACACACTTTAAAGAAAAGGAAAAAATATAATTCAAGCAGAAGAAAAGTATTCATATGAAAAATGGTCTGAAAACTCACCCATCAATCCAGAGGGGAAGAATGTGTTTTTTAATTAGGTCCAATATTGCTTCAAGCCAGGTCCAGAAGGTAAAAGGTTTGCCAGGCAAGTGTTCCTATCATATGAGAAGGGCAATGACTAAACCCTGACAGAACCCATTCAGACTTTCACAACTGTTGCCTTTGAGCAGAACAGCTCTGTTACAGCTGCCCTCACCCAGGAGGAACTCCTCCAAAGCATAGGCAATAACATGGAAGGCAGCATCTGGCAAAGAACTTTCCAAAGGACATCCCACTCCCATTTGTACCTTACAGAATTTGGCCCAGGTGAGGTGACCATCACTGTAGTTAGACTGAACTGAAATGAAAGAAAAACCAAATGAAAATTTTAACAGCAGTGAGACTTTTCATTCTGTGCTTGACTTAGTTTCCTCCCCTCCTCCTTTGCAAGCGTCTCTTATGGACTTTCAGTGGATGAGTGCTGTGTAAGGTCTCATGTGTCATCCTGGTGCCAAAGAGCTCAGAGTCTAATAAACAGCTTCATGGGGGGGGGGGAGCCAACAATGCTTTAGGAAGCTCTGTGAATGGTGAGATAAATTGGCAGGGGCTGAATGGAAGCCACCCCAAGGAGGAAGGACAATGGAGGACAAGGTTCTGTGGGAAGAGTAGGGCACTTACTGGGAACAGCAGAAGCAGACTGAGGGTGGCGGCTTGCCCATTAAAGTGAAAAGAATGGACTAGAAATCATGTAGGCAATAAACAGCCAACAACTATTTTGATCTAGAACACTGAGAAGATTAATACTATCAAAATTCTAAGGAAGCTGCATTTCTGTGAATAATTTGCTAAAGATCCCAAGAACAGTCACAATCCATACTAATCTATACTATTGCTACTAACATATTTAAAAGCATTGGCTACTCAGTAACAAAAATTTACCAGCATCTACTACTGCTGTTTATGAACTCAAGATAAAAAAAAAAAAAAAAGAAAATATATTCAGTAAGTGTTTACACTGACAAAAGACCGGATGTATTTGACTACCTACTGCTGAGTCAATAAGTGCAGGTGGCCAGGAAGCCAGCTTCACCAGCCGTTCTGTGGCCACAGATTCTGTGCAGGTCAAGCTTTACTACAAGTTTTACTGCAAATGCTTGCACACTCAGCGTGAGCTCTCCCTGGTGCTGAGGGTGCCCTCTTGTCAAAATTCAGGCACCTTTAAGAAATCCAGGCAAAGCTTCAACTGCATTTAATACATGAAGTGCTGATGGCATCTGCAAAACTCAGATGCTGAAGCATCCCCTAACGGTCATTGCCGGTGTTTTTAAATTTCTGTTACACTTTCTGTACTTGGCCCAGCAAGTTATAGCTGGTTAACATCACCAAGAATGAGTCACCACACATTCAGAGGAAGTGGCTTAAGAACGCCTGGAAATCAGTGTGACTGGAAAAAAAGGGCTGTGGAGGAGCACTGGTCTGGTCACAGTGTGGGTCAGCTGCCTCCTAGTTGTGCAGTGAGGCTGTGACCTCCCCTCTGAGCTTCAGTGTCCTCAGATCAATACAGTACTGTTGACCACAAGGAACATTGTGAGAATTGAAAGTGAAATGACACTTAGCCCCTGTGCCTGGCAATATCTAGTAGGCATTTAATAAAGTGTGACAACCATCATGACATCCACAGTAGTGATGCAACTGTTTATAAACACTTATAAACCTGGTGCCTGGTGTCACCAACAGGCAAACCTGTGCCAGCCCCCTCACCTGTGAGCTTCTCTGCCAGCATGTTGAGCTGGTCTGAATTAAGGCCACGGCCAACATAGGAGGAAAACTGCCAGCTCATCACTTCCAGGAGTTGACTCAAAGTGACAGATGGAGGATTATTAAAGAAAACCAAGTTCTGAAATAGAGTCATGGTGATTATATCTGTTAATCGCACCAGGAACACCACACTGAATACATCACAGTCCTGTTTTAAATTTGGGGTCAAGTGACATCAACAACATTGTTTTAAAAACCGGTCTTTTTGGTGCTTAATATAATAGAACTCAGGGACCCATCTTTTCCTGATAGAATCACTTGACATCTCCTGACGTCCTCTGAACACCAACTCAACTAGCAATCAAGTTATACAAGTAGTGACTGCCCAACAGCAACTGGAAAGATAACCTTCCCTGAAATGCTATTCATCTTAAACCTGTTTAATTGACTCATCATGAAAGGGGGCACTGTATCCAACAAAGATCACAAGACAGGAAGAGGAGGAGGGAAGTGAAAGAATTTCTAGGGACACCATTCTCTCCTTGAGAAGTGTGCCTGGAAAATGACCAGCGAGGGCAGCCTAATGAATGCAAAAGAGCTTGGCATTTGAAGGGAGATATAATTAGTAAGTCAATTTGTTTGGTTTGGTTTTGTGAAGGGGCTGTGACTTCAGTGTTCAGATCTTCATGGTGGTGCTGAATTGCCTTGGGAGGGTATTCTGGTGGCCTTGGTGGCTTTCTAGCAGATGTTGCTAAGGAAACCCAAGTATGGTGCCACACTGAAGCTGAAAGAGAGAGAGGCACCACACTTTCCTCCCATGCCCTAAAGTTGGAAGAGATGAACAGGCATGTAGCTCTTAAAGGGAAGCACCATTTAGTGCCAAGGGCTGTTCTTGACCTTAAAGACTATAGAATTATCCATTGGATTATCTGGCTTGAGAGGAGTCTGATCCCCTAGCAGCCTTCCTCTTTGCAGTTGATCTGTCTCAGATGCCTGGGCATCTGGGGATGAGGGCTGAGCCATTAATCTGTCTCAGATGCCTAGGCATCTGGGGATAAGGGTGAATAGGGATGAGCCATTTTTCTGTGTGGTTTGCCTTTAGGAGTATTGCATTAAAGGGAGAAGACACTGAAATCTGGCCTATTTAGTGATCGAGCCTTACACGGTCACCCAGTGGAAAGAATTCTTCTGACAGAAACTGATTTGAATACAGTTTTATTTGAGTTGTTTCTTCTGGAACTAAATACTTGGCAACACAACACAAAGTCTGGAGTTTCGTTTTCTCTGTCTTAAAAACAGAGCAAAAGGGAACGTGGTATAATCTATCCACCCCCTTCCCTAGTTTTCATGTAAAAACATCTGTAACCACTGGCACACTGACTGCAAGTGCCTCAAATAACCACCAGATGGCACTAACATCCAGCCTAAACTTTGAGGGGCTCAAATCTATACCCAATCATCTGCAAAATTTGTGCTGTCAGAACTCTGGCAAGATTGATGGACATCCTGGCTATTTATTTGGAAATGAATTCTGTGCCTTTCTAGAAAAGACCAAGAAAAAGTGTGCCCAGAAGTGAAGGTAGTTAGATAGCAAGTTCTAACAGCCATTAGACAGAAAATTCTGGAACAAGGTGTTTCCCTGTAGTCTAGTTAGTATAGCCACAGGACAGCCTTAGCACTCACAGTAATGTAGTCCTGGAGCTGGTTAGAACTCAGAATTAATAGCCAGCACCTGTCATGGTCACTAGCCAGAACTCTCAGAGTCTGTTAAAACACATGACCTCCTCCTCATTATTATTTTTTTTTTAATTTTTTTCCCTCCTCCTCATTATTATAACTCATTTTGAGGGGGACTCTTGCTGTGTCACCCAGGTTTGACTCAGCTTTGCTTCCAATCACAATCTTCCCACCTTAGACTTCGATTCTAGGCGTGAGCCACCATGCTCAGCCCAAGCTGGCCACGTTAAACAAGATCTAACATCAGCTTGAGCCAAACACCTTAAACACGACCTAACGTGACTCATTTCTAGAAAAACTCTCACCACCGCCACATGCACATTGTTTGTTAAAAGAAAAAGTTAGGTAGGATGAGAAACGGAGAGAGAGGAATAGGAACTTTACCTGGCAATCGTTGGTTGACACGTTGTACCAAATGATGGATGCCCAAGCATTGGGCAGTTGGCTGACATTAGAAATCATCACCACAGGTAATGAGCTTGTCTAGTTAAAAAAAAAAGGGGGGGGTGGTATTACATGCAGTTCAAACTAGCACTGATGCTACTCTTGTCCTTCTCTTCTAGAAGGCCATTTCAAGTTAAGCCCCTTCTTCTAATCCTGGTACCCAGGTGCCATGTGAAGAACTTCTGAGCACATGCAAGCCAGAGTACAGTAAGAAAAGGAAGAGGAACTCTTTCTGGGCATCGATGCTAAATAATATGTGAAGAATATACAAAAACCTAGAATGACTAGGCTTTCATTATAAATGATGACTTGTTGGTGTGAATATTACCGTTGAGTAAATGTTTCTTGAAACACCCACCTCCAAGTCAATAGTGAGGCCGTAGAGGCAGATCTGGGTCTCAAAGGCTATGGAGTGCAGCTCCTCTGTCACCATGTGGCAGCCCTATGAGAAAAACAAGAGTTGTTTTCTCACAAATACAGCTTTTCTATTAGAGATCTGGAATATCCTCAAAAAATCCATACTATTGTTTTTAAAATCATGTATTAGAAAATTTGTCTTTTCCACAGTGATTTTCAGTTTCCAAAACATGAGTTCTTGCTCATGTTTTCAGTAGTTGAAATGCCCAAACAGACCACCCGAGAGTCCCAGCCCATACAATGACTTCTATACCATTCCTTGTCAGTGGAATTAGAAAAACTTTGCATTCTGGGTAGAGGACAATTTGTGGGCAGGGACACAATGTCAAGCTAAATGGAGGAGAGTTCTGTAGAAGTCTGTGCTAAAGTCCAGTCCCTGTCTACATTTGATGTCAGGAAATACATCTTGGATGTTAACCAGACCAAAGGCAAACTCCTTTCAGAATCTGCTCCCCAAGAAACAGCCAGCTCCTAATAATCTATGCTTGATTCTGCAATCTCAACATATGCACAGAACCTTCTAAATGGCCAAGCTAATGATTGTTAGACATTTGACAAAACTTCTCACATGAAATACAGGTGTAGAACAAACAAACAAAAAGCCAAGCCAAACAAACAAACCTCTGAAGAAAGTACAAAAAGCAAAAGTTTTTTTTTGTTTTTTTGTTTTTTAAGTGAAAAATGTATGCCAGGTTCAGTGTGTTCAATGAATAAACAAAAACTGACTGGTTGTCATGAGTGGCTATTGCCACCAATCTGTGCCAAGCAACCATATGACTCCAAAGATGCCAATCACAATGAATAAATGAAAAGCCATACCAATATTCATCACTATAAATTTCTAGAAAACTAGAGTTTAAATCGGAAGTCTAGGGTTTCAGGAGTACAGAAACGAAGTACAGAGTCATTTGCAAATGATTGTGAATCAGAATATAAAATAACTAGAATACAGGGGTTTTTGGGTTTTCTTTTGTTTTGTTTTGTTTTGTTTTGCTTTTTGTTTTTTGTTTTATTTGTTTGTTTTTAGTTGTTGTTTTAATTTTTTTTTTAACTCTGAAGAAAATTGTGTGTAGGTCAGCATTCTATACCCATCCAAATGCCTAGCCAAGAATGCCTACAGAGAGTGTTTGAGATATGCAAAACCTCTGGAAGCTAGTTCCAGAAAACTTTGTCTGTGAAAGCTACTGAAACAATTCCTCTATCAAAGGAAAGTCAGTTATGAAAGAGTAGGTCACAAATCTAGTCAGAAGAATGGGAGGACACCCCTAAAAGACAGATGAAAAGAACTTTAACCCAGAAAAGAAAACCTAACAATCAAGCAAAGACAAACCAAATATCAACTGTACAACAGAATTGGAAGGCGAATAGGCAGGACTAGAAGGAGAAATTACAGATCAAATCAGATCAAAATTGTATTTCTAAGCAACATGAAACTTGACTAGCTATGAGTATGGGAGATATAGCTATTGAAGAAAAAGAAAAAAGAGATTCAGATCGACACACTTGACAGTAAATGAGGGAACTTCTCATTCTGATGGAAAGTTTGGGGCTACATGAGTGACAGGTTCTAAAATTAAGTAAAAACTCAAGGAACCACTATACCCCAAGGAAACTGAAAGCAATGCAAGAACTGGAATGTGATCATAGTATGCAAATTAGCTTAGATGTTAACTTTTATATAATTGTAATTGCTTTGTATAATACTATGAAAGTAGCAGCAAATTTATATGTATCAATACTTACCATTTAAAAGGTCATAGTTTAATCTTGTATTCAGGACAGAATTTAGGAATGTAATATGCAAAATTTAAAAACCTAAGAAATAGAATTATTCGCAGCTCTAAAAAGGAATTCAAGAGAGGAGTTTAGAAGGGAATGACTGGGAGAGAAATTACCTTTTTTCTTTGATGACACCCTAAAGTACTTGGCTATGCCTACAACCAGCAGAACTGTCATCATCTAGAAGCTTATTAGAAAAATGGTGTGTCTAATCCAGGCTTACAGAATCAGATTTTACATTTTAACAAGAACTACAGGTAGAATTTGGGAAGCAATTATTCTTGATGTGGTCCATTAACATTTCATTTAGTCTCAAAAGGGATGTGGGAAGTTCTGTGACAGAAAGCTTAAACCATTCATAAAACAAGCCAAGGAACAAGTGGGCAGAAATGGACTTGTCTAAATTTAAAAAGTCAGGTGAATCCGCAGAGGACAGGGTCACCCTGGGAGAAGAGGAGGAATAACACCGAGTAGCAACAATTCTGAACCCTCTGCGTTAATTTTAAAATAATAAAAATTAGCCAAATATGAATAAGAGCTACATGAGAGAACTTTAGTAATGCCGATAATGTTAAACTTAGGATGTGTTATTTGGAAGAAAGCACAGAGTAGAAAAGTCTTCTCTTCTTTGGGCTAGAAGGATCTTGTATGCTTGATTGCCGGGATGTAGTGAAATGAGTAGATTGAGTCACATGGCATTAGATTAACAGAAAGTTTTGTACAATAAATGCTGCTTATAAATCCCTTAGACAACCACTAAAAGTATTCCTAGTACATGAACATACCAGCTAGTACATGAACGTACTAACTAGTATGTGAACATGCCAGCTAGTATATGAACGTACCAACTAGCCAATTTCCTTTCCCCATAGAGCACTGACATCCACCATTGTTCTTTTGGTTGAGTTTAAGATAAAGGAGCTGGCTTCCATTAGGGCACCAGAGCTGGCTTCCATTAGGGCACCAAACTGCATTTTTAAAGAAGAAAAGCTCACTAGCTATGGGGAAAGGTGCTTACAATGGGTGTGCACATCACCAAGACAACTGGGGAACCTAATTTTCATTTAGGAGTGTTCATTTTTTAAAATCCAGTGCAATGGTAGATAAGCATGTGCAAACTATTTGAGAGGACTCCAGCAAGCATGCAAATGAAAAACCAATAAATATTTAAATTTAAATATTTACTAAATCAAGTCAACAAATCGCTACAATGTGGTCTAGTCCCCTGCTTTGACATATAGCCTTCACCTAACTTAAATGATTAGTTTAGCACCTCAGAGTTGTATATCCTTGCAGGAGTAAAAAAGCACCATCTCTCCTCCCCCTCATTCTAGTCCATAACTTAATTCATATGAGTAAGTATGCATGTAATAGTGATTATGGATATTTTCCTCTGCTTTTTAAAAGTTGTGACACATGTGTTTAGTGTGCAAACGTGGGGTCTTAGAACACACACACACACACACACACACACACACACACACACACACACGGATTTTGGAGGGAGCAGGGTTAGTGACATGGAGGTGTAGGAGGGAGAAAGGAAATGGTGTTACATTTTAATTTTGAAAATAGAGAAGGCAAAATGAAGCTACAAACAAAGCTTTGGAGGAAAATTTCACGCTTTAGGGTTTTTGTTTTTGTTTTTAAATCTGGATGACAAGAAGTCTTCTTGGTGATTCTAACCAATTTATGTTGTTTACCTGAAATCCCCTGATCCATTAGGATGCACATTTACAACAAAATATGGCAACAAGGCTGATATCCAATACACAGGACTGGATAAAAGAAGTCCGACGGAGAGATGCATCATTAATTTCCAGAACTCCCATGGCCATCAATCAAAGTCATCATTATTTTGTCAGTGTAGTCTAAGCCAGACAACACTCAGTTTCATCATCCCAGAGTCATTTCTCCAGTCTGTCCCTATTATTTTTTCTGCTGTCTAATAGCACATCCTGGAAACCTCAACAACATGAACAAATACTTAATACTTTGTGTTTGCTTGTCTGATTTCTTGAGATAGGTGTCCTGTAACCCAGGCTGGCTTCAAAGTTGCTGTGAGCTGGCGAATACCTTGAAGTCTTCCTGCTTCTGAGTATGGGTGTGCACCACATCCAGCCCTTTGCTTGTTAAACAAGCTATAACCTACATAACAGCACAGGAAAAACTGTAGTACTTAGAAAACAATCACTCCAGCAAATATTTGCATAGCACCTTGAAAACAAAAACAAAACCAAAACCAAGAACTGGCTTGGATGCTAGCAAGTAACGAGGAGGAGAGAGAGCTAATGGTACAATGCCATAGTCACAGACTCACGTGAAATGACAGTCTTCTGCACATGTACAGTGAAGATCCTGAATGGACATTGCGGGCACAAAGGGCTGGGTTAATAGGAAGACACTGCTACCACTGTCTCTCCTAAAGAAAGTGTTGCCACTCCATTCAGTTCAAAGGAAAGCCACTTGCTGTGAAATGCCAGGGGCTAGTTGGGTCCTGAGTAGTGTGCCCGTGTTTGAGAACACCGAACCATGAAAGAACATCTGTCTGGCTGTTTTGTGAAGTGAAACTTACCACCCAGGCTTTACTAATAGCTTCTTCGTACTTCACGACTTTCTGCCACCTATAACCACAACACCTCAGTCTGTGGCTAAAACTCACTTCTCAGTCAAGCCTATGGACAAAGCGGGAGCCAGAGAGATGCGATCCCAGCCCCCTTCTGCAGACAGTTTCTGTATTTCAGTAGTCTCTCTTTGGCAAGCTCTCCATCCCGAAGGACCCAGGAGAAAGGTCATTTCCAGGGAATGCTTATTTTACAGGACCAAATGGTAGCATCAAAGTCTGGTCACTTGAGAGATGACAGAATCATGTTATTTGTTTATTTAGTGTTATTATGACTCTTCCGGGGATGGAACAAAGTGGGAGAGAGAGGCAGTGATTGCTAGCCTCTAGGTATGGAGAGATATTCCAAACCAAAGTTTTAAAGATCATTTACAACACTGTGAAGCTCCTCCTCTACTGTGTTTCTGAGGACTGTAAAATTTTAGTCAAAGAAGCTTGTTTAGAGATTATCATCTATTCTAATGAGTTAAAAAAAAATAAAAAAGGTTAGTGTGTGGGAGGTGAGGGGCACATGCCACAACTCGTGTAGGGCAGTCAGAGGACAACTTGTGTGGGCTGTTACTCTTGTGAACATGGACCAGCATGCCTGGTGACAAGCTTTCTTACTCACTGAGCCATCTCACTAATAGAGCTCCCTTGTTTTGTTAAACCTCAAAGCACATTTTAATAATCTCCATGCTCCCATCTGTAAATAAGATTAAGTAAAGCTGTCCTGGAATAAACAAGGGTGAAAAACCCAGAGCAACACTGTTGTCCAATCCCCAATCCAAGGTGGGAAGGCCTGAAGCCCATTTGGTCCCCTGGAGCTTTGAGAATAGGGAAGACAACTTCCTCCCCTTGCCTAAGTCAGTTACAGGGTGCTTTAAACCTAAGGGAGAATGGAGACTTAAGAAATGTGTCATCCCCAACACCTTGCCATCTCCTTTGTCATTTAACAGCTATCCAATATGAGTCTCACAACCACAAAACCACAATTTAAGGATCCAAAGTTGTGCTGGGCGGTGGTAGTGAACGCCTTTAATCCCAGCACTCAGGAGGCAGAGGCAGGGGGATCTCTGTGAGTTCGAGGCCAACCTGGTCTACAAGAGCTAGTTCCAGGGCAACCTCCAAAGCCACAGAGAAACCCTGTCTTGAAAAACAAAAACAAAACAAAAAATCCAAAGTTATGTGTGTGCATGTGTTTGGTTTGGTGTGTGTGTGTGTGTGTGTGTGTGTGTGTGTGTGTGTGTATAATGGCAGGGTCAGTGCAGGGGACCTTAGGGTGCTACCAGGAAACTCAAGAGGTTTCCAAAAGGGGACATACTTGAAATGTAGTCTGGGGAGACTTGCAGACTTGAGATAAGACTTGCAGACAGATTGGGGATGTGCCCTCATGAAAGAGGCCATGTTTCCAGGTAAGTATGTGGCACTTGGGCAGAGAAGGACAAGGACCCATGGTTGTTTCAGGTCATTGAATGTGAGTTTCCCTTTGATGTAACACCTGCTCTCCTCAGAGCAGGCAGCATGAAGCCCCGATCTGTAAGAGCTACACCAACCTTGGCCCAAATACCATGGAGAACCAACTCACACACCATCCTCACAAAACCCTGGGAAGTGTAGGGTAACATTAACCATATTCTGTAGATCAGGAAATTGAGAGGGGGAAAGAAAGGCTTGCCCAGGTTAGCTTTCCCATGAGTAGCAGAGCCCAAATCAAGTGCTGTCTTCACATTCCCCACAGACATAGCAGGGATGCAAAGGGGGACCAGCAGGTAAGAGACATTAACATTTCCTAAGGAATTGTTATGCTAATTTCCTTCCAGCTAGGCTGAGGTAACTCCATTTCTGAACTAGCAGGCAATGTGTGAAGTGAATTAGAAGGAGGAGACGCTCCCGTCTTCCAGAGATTGTAAGATCCCAAAAGGATGTATCAGAGAAGAGTGAGCAGTACAGACTGCCAGGGTTTAATTTTGATCCTTGTCTTTAACTCCCTGTGCAAACCTGAGCTCAGTTCAGCTTCCCTAACTGCAATGTGTATGCTACCCCACTTAATAGTGTTAGCACCGAATACCCAGTACATCAGGGGGAACTGTTAAATGAATTCTCAGCAGGGTATGAACACTTGCTGCTGGTGCTCCTAGATAAGCAATCGCAACCTTTGAAGCTTGAAAATAGGGTCATGGTATCCTTGCTTCCTGTCTTCCCAAAATGTGTCACTATGACTGACCGTTGGCCCTGTGGCTTTATGAACACCACCTCATGCCTATGAGTCTACCTTTCCTCATGCTCCTTTGATCATTTCTACTGATTGACCAACCCCCCGGTGACTGGATCATCTTTTCTCCACGTTTCCTACCAATCAATTGTTTCTTGAGCACACAAAACAGCATTTGAGCCCAGGGCTTGTTCTAAATGTACCTTGGCGTCATACTAAGAGCCTGTCAATAGGGGGAGCTCGAAGAATATCTTAACCACAGTGGCCCTGCTTTAGCAAACTTGAAAAAATAAAAAGGAAACAAAGTCATTGTATGGCTGTATGATTTTGTTATCAACTGGAAAATAAGAGGACATAAATTCAAAGCAATATAAGCAGACATTACTAATAAGACAGCGCTTGGGTTTTCTATAGAGGAAGACGATGTACTTAGAGTTCTGTCTCCAAGGATTCTCCAGTACAGATTCTGATTTCACGTTGATAAAGATGACAATGTGATATTAGATGTATTCCCATTTGCTTAAGAAGAGTTCAGAGTAATTGTGCCTGGTTTGTTCAGACTTGTAAATAATAACATTCAGGGATGTCAAACTGAATGATATATTACGACTGTATTCAAAATTCCACCCAGGTGTGTGTGTATAATAGGCTTTTGTTTATAACAGTAGTTCAGGAAACCTAGGAAAAACTTTATGGGAAAGAATTCCTCCTCCATATTTGTTTTACTAGAACCCTTAAACCCAAAAGTTCCATTCATGGGAAGAGAGACTTGCTTGAGGCTCTGCCTGAAGCATCGTCTGTTCTTGACAGGCCACAGTGTGTGGCAATGTCTAAGGTACCACAGAGAGGATGAAGAGTTCCTAGAGGGGAACATGACTGGTTGTTAAACCCGGTGGTGGGTCATGTGGCCTGGGGTGTGTGATAGGCTGCCACTCAATGCTGGATTTATGCAGCTCTTCCAAAGGAGTCCAACATCTCTGTCCTAAGAGCTGGGATTTAAAAAGCCCAGTAGCTAGTCTGTACAAACTGGACTATAATACTCCTAATAGCTGGGAAACTGCTTTGAGGAGTCGGGCTTAACTAGCAGCATCTCCAGGCAGGTGTGTCAGGTGTCATCTCCTCTCTTAGAACATAAGAGTACAATATTTCTCTATCATATGATTCCAAAGATAACATTTTCAGTCACTGTTAGGAATGTGGTCTCAAACTTACATTTCCCATATTCAAACATGAAGACAAAAAATATAATGCTAAAATTTCCAGGCCAGATCAGAAGATGGCCTTCACAGTCAAGACTTGGCTAGTCTATTGACTGGAATGTGGGTGTTTGTCCAGTTCAAATATGAACTTTAAAGACCAAAGTAATTGATACTACACAATAAAAGAATTATTTTTCAGCTCTTATTTTTATGTAATGTGCCATGATTTTTGAAACTTCACATCTGTGGACAAATAAATTATTTTAAGATAGATTACCATGATGGAGAGCTAATTAGAGAAATCATGACACCTATATATAATGTAATATAATGAAACAATTTAAACCATGTTCTCTAAAAGGATTGGGCATGATATTTATGACATGATATGTTTTGTTTTTGAGACAGGGTTTCTCTATGTAGCCCTGGCTATCCTAGAACTTACTGTGTAGACCAGATTGACCTCAAACTCATAGAGATCTGCCTGCCTCTGCCTCCCAAGTGCTGAGATTAAAGGCATGTGCCACCACATTAAAGGCATATGCCTGGCTGACATATTTTTGAGTTATAGAAGATTAGACAGAAGGTTAATGTTTTCTCTGAAAGGTAGTTTTTTTATCCTTAAAAAACTTAAATATTATCTACAATGATAAATATTTATATATATTTGATACAAAAATTAAGAAGTTTAAGAGCTTTGGGGAAATGGTGTTACAGGATGTTTCCTAGGAAAATTTCCCAAGAGTTTATATTTCCTACCTCATTTCCTTTACTTCCAGCACTGGATTTCATCTCCTTCGGCTGCTGTGTGAAAGAAAACAGCGTTTGGATGGAGGATCATTGTCAGGAACATATTAAGTTGGTCACACCTGCTACTTTCCCAGTCATAGTTTTGGCTTCTTTAACAATAACTTGTGTCATTTCACACACTGAACCCTCACTTTGCTGCCTAGATCCAACAGAAGTTAATATTGAAAACCAAACTAAACTCCAAATCATCACATATTTGTTTTTGTAGGTGTTTTCCTGCTAACTAGTTTTGTGTTTTTAGAAAGTGGACCCTTCCAGCTGATGCAGTAGCATCCAACATTCAGGTGGATGCTGGCTAAGTGTTAATAAGCCAGAGGAATAGCATGTTGGTGGCAAGAAAGGCAATGGGGTCTTAGGAAAACTAAGAACTGAGAGAGAGGGGGGGGAACTCTAGGTCAAGAGGAAGTGGTACACAGGAGAAGCAACAGGATAGGGCGTGGTCAGAGCTTTCTAGACAGTGCCAAGGCAGACTGTACAAGGGTCTGTTGGGAAACCCCAAGAACAGCCCAGCCTGTTCTGAAATGAAAGTGCTTTCTGCCACACGTTATTGGATGTCATTTCCCGGGGGCACTTTAAAAATGAAAGCAGAACTGTTCTGCACTTAATGCAGTTGTTGTGATCAACATGAGCCAGTCACGGTGAATGTTTGGCCATTCTGCATTGCGATTGTTCAGAACTCACTGTCAGGGTTCTTGCTCAATGTCCTTTCTACTGTTTTAATTTTTCAATGATGGCAGCTTTGTTTCTCACTATGGTGTTTAGTGTTAGCATAGTGAGAAGCAGGAATATGTAAGAAACTTCTTGCATTTCATAGTAAGTAAACTAAGTAAGAAACTATGGTACATTAAGAAACTTTCATGTAAGGAATACAACAAAATACTCTGAATTACACAGCCTGTTAGCAAAGCTTGGGCAGTGTCTGGGTGGGTGGGTGGTTGGGGGAGATGCCGTCACCTTATTTCCTACTTACCAAATGTCTAAATTCTACTGACAGGCTCCCATTGGAGGATTCCTCAATAGACATGGCTTTGACTTGAGTTCCACAAAGCACAAATCTTCTATTGCTAGATGGAAAAATACTTTTAAAAAGGGGGTTGGGTCAACATATATTTAAATGGCAAGAAAAAAAATCTGCAAAGAAAAATTCTTACCTTAGAGTTGAAACATTCCTGTAAAACCAAGAAGAGCCTTTAAAGTAAGCTGGTTATTAGACCCAGGAAGATATCACTAGCAACTTTAAGTCACAACATATGACGCACCATTTAAGTCTTCATAGTTAAATGTTTGAACTTGAAATCAAGTATTTGTAGTAGAGTGATATGTAAAGTTAGAGAGATACAAAAGTTCAAAATTATTAAGTAAAAATTTTAAAAGCCTTTCATTACCATATTTGAAAGAAATTGGGAAACTTACTTGTCTATTGATGCTTTAACTTTCACCTGATAGTTGAGTTCTGGCAATTTTATTAGTAGTCTGGGAAGAGATTGGAATAAAGAATCAAAGATAAAAATTTAGAAGTGATATAATCTTCTTCTGCACTTAAATTATTACATATCTTTCTAGCATGTACATATACGTAAAACGTTGTCTCCACTTCCATGTTAATGTGCTTGAAAAATGTAAAAACCTCTTGAGTTTGCTCAGTGACTCTCCTGGCACCAGCCCATGTCACTACTGACAAACATTTGCTGTTTGCAGTTTTTTTTTTTTTCAGTTGATAGGTGCTAGATAGACTGACCCATTCAGAAAAAACAGCTGTATGTTTGTGTTGAAATCTGGGTGACATATATGTTTAAGAAAAGTTCTTTGCAAGTCTGTTAACAGGACTCCATCTTCTCTCCATACTACAGAAACAAATGTTTTGTAAACTTAGCAAAACTAAATATTTTTGAGAATTTTGATGGTGAAAATACTGAGAAAGCCCAAATTCTAAAATGAATATAGAAAATCCCAATTAAACTATATTTGTAATTTCAAGAATAGGAATATATTTTCAAAGCAGCAAATATTCTTGTAATGAAAAAAGACCCAACTTCCAACAAGGGGACAACTGATGCTCAGATAAGAATTCCTTCTTTTGACATCAGTTCTTCTATTCTTTTGCTCCCCCACCCCCAAATCCCCAAGGTATCCATGATATGCTTATGTCTGTGGGTTTCTTGCATCTGCAGACACACTCACTGATTCACTTACCCATTCATTCATGCATCCATGTATGCATGCATTCATTCAAGCCTTATACATTCATTCACATATACTGATCTCATTATGTATATTTAGTATAAACTCAGATATCTGAAAACTCTTGAACAAAGATTGGCTAATGGAGAAGGGTGGAGTAGCTATGTATAAAAGAAAAGAATCCAGACAAGCAGATGCAGTTTACAGAACATGGAGGTAATGCATTACAATTAGAGACATGCCATGAAGCCAAGGCTCCTTAGATGTGTTGACTGAAGCACAAGGCTATCTCCATTTGTGGACTGTGTTTGTATAAAGTAAGTAGTGGATGGTGAAGAGGGCGTGCGGGCTCATAGACATTTTCTTCTCCATCGCCCTCCTCATTCTGCTCCAGAAAGGATCTGGTCCACTGCAAGGCACTGATGACAGCTTCCAAAGCATCGGTTCTCAAACTGGGGGTCACGACCCCTATGGGGTCACATGTCAGATATCTACGTTAGGATACTGTGAAAAATTACAGTATGAAGTAGCAACAAAAATAAATGTTTGGTTGTGGGCCAGCACAACATGAGTAACTGCATTAATGGGTCACAGCATCAGGAAGGTCGAGGAGAACCACTGTCCAAGGGTCTTCCCATGGCACCCTCTTCAAAACGGGAGAGCACAATGCTATGGCAGAGAGCAGTCTTAGAGAGAAAACTCTCTAAGTCAGGGAAGGAAGATGATGACCCAGCAATCAAGCTGAGGAGGGGCCAGGACACCCACTCCAGGACAGTGGTCCATGTCAGGCTTCATTTCAAACAAATGCTACTTGCTACCTGCTCAGGGCCTCTTCCACTCTGAATGTTTTCTAGACAGTCCTATTATCTCCTCATTTTCTCATACATCATTTCAACTTCCTTTCTCTACATGGATGTCTCAAGTCAAAGTAGGATATCTACCACATCTCCATCCTGCTTCCCTTGTTACTTGTCTGCTGGCTTTCACAGAGGAATGGAGATGAGGAATAAACAACTTTGAAAAATGAAACTTTGAAAAGAAACCTGGCTAACCACCTGTTTTCCATTCTTGTATCTTGGTGCAAAATTCATACAAAGAAAGAGAATGAGAGGTGGGGGTTTTTTGTTTGTTAGTTTTTGGGTTTTTGTTTGTTTGTTTTTGTTTTGTTTGTTTGTTTTTTGGATTTTCCAAAACAGGGTTTCTCTGTGTAGCTTTGCAGACCAGGCTGACCTCAAACTCATAGAGATTCACTTGCCTCTGCCTCCTGAGTGCCAGGATTAAAAGGCATATGCCACCACCGCACAGCTTATCACTGAGATAAGTTTAATCAGGGGTTTTGAAATGCAAACTGAAAAATGCCTTCCCTTTAAAAATTGGGTTCCAGTGCTGCCAGGTGGCCAAGAGTTCTGCCATAGAACCCTCAGGTGCTCTCCACCATGGAATCAATAAAGATTTCTTAATTTGTTCAGCATTCCTAGTGATTAGGAATACGTAGCCCTGGGCCTGGAGTTTAAGGCACAATACAAATCTTTGCCTTAAGTTTACTAAAGAAAACCTAGGTTTTCATTGTCCATGCTCATAAAGATGTCTCAGATACACAATGAAGGCTCAGTGAAAATCATGCAAGCCCACATCTCTAAATCAGGAGCTCAGCAAAGATGTACTGAAGACTGCAGTGCCCTGAGTTTTTGTGGGAAACCCAGTAAGCCATTTACTGGTTAATCACAGGCGAAGCATATGCCACTCATTTCCCGGATGTTCCGTCTCCCACGTCTATCCCCGTGTGTCTTTTCTATTCTATTCTCTCTGTTCCACTCTGTTACAGAACAGACTCAGCCAGTCTTTCTGTATGCTCACTCTCCCACAATTCTTCCCTTCTGTCTTTCCAGTCTTTTCTCACATTAACTTTTCAGCCATCGATCCCAGAGTGCCTGATGTCACGATTACATACTTTCATGCTAATAGCCCTTACATCTTCATTAATAGCCCACATTGTCATGTTCTTCATAAGCAAGCTCTCATCATGACTTTTCTGCAGGGATTTGCTGAACTTCAGCCTGGGACCTCAGCGGGTGCTCTGTGAAGGACAGCTGACTGTAGAGGGCCTTGATTGACAGTGGTTGGCAGTGCCATGGACATAAAACAACAGAACGGGTTCTGCCTACCTCAGCTTTGCAGTGAACTGAATGAGGGTTTTAAGTACCATCGGCCTCTGAGGGTGTGTTGGCATGCACGGCTGTCGCTCAACCACAAATGAACTAGATGGAAGGGAAATACCATTTGAAAAGGTTAAAAATGTTAACCACAAAGAAACTGGATGCTATTTTTCCCACAGAGTCGAAACTTTTTACACCCGGAAGACGGTGAAACCCCTACTCGACTTGTCTTCCCAAAAGCTTCCCAGATCATTAAGTGTAAAATGACAGGAAAAAATGCCTGAATTAACATTAGTAATTCTTAATTACCAGTTATGGGCTCAAGAAAGGTTCATGCTTATCCTATATATAGCAAAAGATAATTTATGACATTTTGGACTGAATGTTGGGACTTATGGTCCAAAAATTAGAATTCTTTTCTCTTTACACCAGATGCTCCCGACCCTCATTTCTTGGATACGTTCTCAAGAAGAAATCCTTCGTCTTCTCTGACATGTGAAAGCTGAGTGGGAGGTGGGCGGCGGGGTTGCTCCACTTCCGGGAGGCATGTTGCTGAGGAAAGGAGTAAAGAGTGGGGCTCCGGCACTGCCTCCTGGGGTCCCTACGGCTCTGCTCCACATGGACCAGTGTGGCATGTCACAGACATGCACTTACTTCTTGAAAATGTTGTAAATCAGGAAGGTGGCTCTCTCCAGCAGGTGTGCTCTCTGGGTGGGGATGGGGTCTCCTTCGTAAGTCATCTTGGTAGATTGCTCCTCTAATTTTTCCAGCTGTCGTCTGAGTTGGAAAAGACTTTCTGCCAACAGGGTAAAGCTATTGAACAGAAAATGACAGTTTTTTTTTTTCCCCCACTTAGTGACTGAGCTAGTTTAACAACTGATCATATTTCATAAATAATACACAATTAAATGATTACATTAATTAAACGAATCTCTTAATTCCAATTATGATTTATGACAATTATTGGTTTTTTTTTGTAAGCCGTCTCTTCTTGAATATGTATCATGTTAAATTTTCTAATTTGTGCTTTAAATTTACAGACACCCTTTATGAAATAGTCAGCATCTGGAGCCAAATCCCTTTTAATTGGCCTTTAGATCCTGTTAAGTGTTCATATTAAGAATATGGCTTTCACTAAGTCAGAGACAGGCCAATTTAAAATACAGAGTACGAGCCATGGAGAATGTTACTCGTAAAACCCACCTTCCTCCCCCACTACCCACATTTACAGTTCCTGGGTGTTAGTGGAAAGTGATGGCTGAGTCATTCTGGCGGAAGTTACACGGTGTTTGGGAATGCTTGCTCCTAATACCTGAGTGAAATTCTGTTCATTATGTGCTGATCTTGCCTTAGAGACGGAGATGAGGGTTAGGACAGCTGGAGAGGAACAAGAACAGTTGGAACAGATGAAGAAGAGTAGGGCGCTCCAGCTGGAGGAACAGAATGCTTCAGCTGTCCTTACAGCCAGTCTTCTCAAGCATTAGACAGAAGGGATCAGGGAGGAGCGGTGGCCCCTGCTAAGTTTCCCTGTAGGCCCTGTTACTGAACAGTCTTCATTATTCCCCTTTGTTGCTTGTCTTGTTTTCACAGCGGTTCTTTGGGTTTAGAGAACTGAGGAAAATCAGTATGCTTTAAAATGAGCACATGCCTTTACTTCTCTTGAGAAGTAAGCCCGAACAAGCAAGGGCATGACATACTTCCATTTTCTGCAATTAGAAAGCAACTTTGAATTTTAACTGATTTTGATTTTATGTATGTTTTTTTTTGATTGCGTTCTCAGACAGTCTTATTTTGTATTTGAGTCAGAAAACTTTATCAACATTTTTTTTATCTTGTAATGTAAAAAGACAGTATCTACATTCAATGTCCTGTCTGTGTTTTAAGTACAGATATCTTGTTGTAATGACTGCTGGAGATTATGTCACTTGTTATTGTGTTATAATTTTGTATAGGGTCTTGCTATGTAGACGAGGGTGGTTTGGAACATGTGTGGCTCCCCTGAGATGGGTGTGTGTGTCCCTATGCCTAGCTTAACTATCTTTTTAACTGGCTAGCAAATGCTGTGCATATTTTTAATTTTATACATGGTGTTTTGATATATTTGCATATTGAAGGATGGCCAAATCAAAACTAAAACATATGTATTATCCCACACAACCTTCTTTTTTGTAAGAACAGAAAATTTACTTAGTAGTTTTCAAGTATATAAGCTATTGCTAACTGCAGTCATCATGATAATTTTTTCCCACTAAAATTTTGCATCCTTGACCAACAGCCTTAAGAAAGTTATTGTGTTTGAAAGCATAAAACTAAATGCTTAGCTCATAAGAAACACATTTTAAAAAGTTATTTTAAAGAATTTTGAAGCTAATGTTTATTATATTCTTAAAGACAATTCATTGTTGGCTTAAAAAAAATCATTTGCCTCCTTTTAGGATCCTCCTTGTTACCTAGCTTTCTGGGGTTGTGGATTGAAGACTGGTTATCCTTTGCTTTACATCTAATATCCACTTATGAGTGAGTACATACCATGTTTGTCTTTCTGAGTCTGGGTTACCTTACCCAGGATGGTTTTTGGCTTTTTCTAGTTCCATCCATTTGCCTGCAATTTTCAAGATATCATTGTTTTTTTGTTTTGTTTTGTTTTTCTTTTTGATGAGTAATACTCCATTGTGTAAATGTAACAAATTTTCTTTATCCATTCTTTGGTTGAGGAACATCTAGGTTGTTTCCAGGTTCTGGCTATTACAAATAATGCAGCTCTGAACATAGTTGAGCAAAAGTCCTTGTGGTATGAATGTGTATCCTTTGGGTATATGTCCTAGAGTGGTACTGCTCAGAATCCCAGTTTTCTGAGAAACTGGCATACGTATCTCCAAAGTGGCTGTATAAGTTTGCACTTTCATCAACAATGGAGGAGTGTTTCCCTTACTTCACACCCTCTCCAGCATAAGGTGTCATAAGATAGAAAGGGGGAGATGAGGGATGGGGACATGAGGGACCCGAAGGCCAAGTTGGGGAAGGAACAGATGGGAAGAGCAAAGAAAGAAATCTTGATAGAGGGAGCCATTGTGGGGGTAGGAAGAAACCTGGTGCTAGAAAAATTCCCAAGAATCCACAAGGATGACCCCAGCTAAGACCCCCAGCAATAATGGATAGAGTGTCTGAATGGGCCTTCCCCTTTAATCAGATTAGTGACTACTCTAATTGTCATCATAGAACCTATGTTCAATAACTGATGGAAGCAGATGCAGTGACCCACAGCCAAGCACTGGACTGAGCTCCTGCAGTTCAGTTGAAGAGAGGGAGGAGGGTTCATATGAACAAGGTGGTGGTGGTGGGGTCAAGATCATGATGGGGAAATACAGAGATACTGGACCCAAGCTAGTGGGAGCTCACAGATTATGGACTGGCAGCTGGGGAACCTGCATGGGACCAAGCTAGGCCCTCTGAATGTGGGTGACAGTTATGTGGCTTGATCTGTTAGAAGGGCCCCCAGCAGTGGGACCAGGACCTATCCCAGGTCTATGAACTGGCTTTTGGAGCCCATTCCCTAGGTGGGATACCTTGTTCAGCCTTGATACAAGTGGAGGGGCTCAGTCCTGCCTCAACTTGGTATGGCAGACTTTGTTGACTCCCCAAGGAAGGCCTTACCCTCTCTGAGGCGTGGATGAGGGGGTGGAAAGGAAGGAGATGGAGGTGGAATGAGGAGAGGGAGGGGGAACTGGGGTTGGTGTGTAAAATTAGAAATATTTTTTTAAATAAAGGAAAAAAATCATTGGAATCTTTTAAGATATCATGTCTGCATATTGAGGAATTCTTAGGCATGGGAAACGCTTCCTTTTCCTTCCCAAAGGAGGGATGCTAAGAACACTGAGCAGTGGTACCTTTGTGTCAGTAATCTCCAGCTTGGTGTAACCTGCGCTCTCTGAGCACACTGAAGCCTGCATTTCCTGTGGTTTTCACTGGAAACTAAAGTTGATTGCTTTACCAGTTTTGAAGCTGGTCCAGCCCATTGTGGAGTGGGCCACCGATGCAGGCGATCTGCTGCCGCCTCTTCCAGTCCTGCAGCTCTTCTATCAGCATGGTGTTCATCAGCAGGTCCGACTCATTCACTATTTGTGTCATCTTACTGAGCACCTCCTAAAAACAGACACCAGGGGAAGAGGTCTATAGAACACCCAGGTTCCAATTCTGTTAAGAAAGCACACTGCTACGAGAGATGAAGGTTTGACTAAAATCAACCAGATATTTGATTGACTTGGTATAGCACTGCCTTTCCAGACAATAAAGGCACTACAATTGGATAGCATTACAAGAACTTAGCCACAGCTGACATTCTCATGTTTCAGGTTTAATGTGTCCAATGGGAACCTCTGGACCAATACTGAATCTGGCTGTCCTAAACACACATTTGAACAGTTGTTTGTTTTACTTATTCACGTTTGTGTGGGTGTGCATGTCCGGATGATGTGTATGCAGTCCCTACAGAAGCCAGAAGAGGTGCTGGACCCCATAGGAGTGGATCACTTGGTGACAAGCCACCATGTGGGTTCTGAGAATAGAACCTGCCTTGTCTGGGGATCAGCAGGTACTCTTAACCCAGCGCGTATTTCTACCTTATCCACCCGCCCCCCCCCAAATGTGGTTATCCATCTATTTGCAAATACATTGATACATTGATTAAAACTTGGGTCTTTCTGTGTTACTTTGTCTTCAGACTTTATTGGAGCTTAGGGAGGCATAGTGAAGTGACTTTTATAGGTATAGGGATTAGGAGATGGAGTTTCCAATAGCATATAACCTTGCTATAACTTAGTTTTCTCATATATGTAATTGGGTGGATGGGCTCAATTATTTTCAGAGTTCCTTCTCTCTTGAATTTTATTTTTCAAGCAAAATAAGATTGTACATGTCAAACATAAATATTATCCATAAAAGCCTGACATTTCAGCTTGGATTAATTCATCACATACTTGAAATATTATGTATTCCTAGTTATATTTATAATAAACTTAAGGTGAAAATAAACTTGTTTGGATTCACATAAGTTCATCTGCCAAAAAGTGATCACTTAGAAATGAACTACTGATTTAACAGTTATTAAGTACCAGTTACATGTACTTTTAAAGGCAGGTAGAAAATTGAAATAGGAGTATTCATTAAGCTAAAAAAAATACTTATGCTTGGTTGCCAATAAACTACTCTGAAGCTTGGAATATTTCATGAATAGGACAATATTTAACAATGTCATCCTCAGAATGGAATATAGAACACTAATTTTTTTCCAATAAAGTTTTAAGTCATCAAAAAATTTTAATTATAAGTATGTAGTATAACCCACTTCAGCCTGCTAAATAGTGAAAAATAAACCTTGGTACAACTTCTACCTTAAGTTAATGACTCCTCCAGCAGCATTTCACAGATTGGGGGGTTGGGGGTCACTGTGACTATGCAAGTTTACTCAGTCACGGAGGACAGTTCCTGGAAACACTGGCACCATTTCATTCAGTGTAAACGGAACTGATATAATCTGAGGCCTGGGTTATGTTTGGTAGGATGAGGTTTAGGAAAAGAAAGCCTGGCAAATGGCAGATTAAAATTCTTCACCAACCTTTCTCTTGAAGTCCAGGCTGTTAAGCATTTCTTGCAGTGTCAAAACTTCTTGATTCATCAGGATACTATTCTTGTCACCCTGGTCTGCAAAGAGGAGAGAAGATTCAGAATCATGACTGGGGCAAACCTTTTATTCCCCAAAATCAAGTCCATCTCAATCCACCCCTAAACCAGCCCTGGACAGGGCCAGAGGTCTAGGCTGTCAGAGACAAAATGGGCTCCAGGTGTTGAGCATGAAAGTCCAGTCTGGGAATGTTCTCATCCTGCCGGGAAAGAATTTCAGCCAAACTTGCACAGGGACCCTTTATCTATCTACACGAAGGAAGGAGGGCGCTTTTCACCTGGTACCCAGTTTTGGTGATGGACAAAGGAAGTTTTTAAATTATTATTTAAATTAAAAACAATCTTACTTTACATACTAATCACAGTTCCCTTTCCCCCCCATCCTCCCATTCCCCCAACAAACCCCCTATCCCACCCCTCATCCACTTTCCAGGGAGAGTGAGGCCTCCCATGGGGGATCATTAAAGCTGCCTCATCTTACATCATTTGGGACAGGACCTAGCACCCCACCCCCTGCTGTGTATCTAGACTGAGAGAGTATCTCTCCATAGGGAATGGGTTCCCAAAGCCCATTGTGCATTAGGGATAAATGCTGGTTAAAGGAAGGGTTTTTAATGGACTTGTTTTACTGGTTCTGCCTGCACTAAGGGGGAAAAATGCTTGATATAAGGAAAGGTGATTCCTTGTGATCAAGATTAAATCATGTGACTCATTCTGCAGCCTTTACCCATCTCTCCCAATCCATTCATTCTCTGCCTGGTAGAGTTAGTTAGTCTTAATGAACTTACAGGAACCAATAAAATCAAAATTTCTACTTTTCCAGTTTTCTTACAAAATGAACTAGGCTTACAGCAAAATTGGTCAGGGAAAAGAATTGAAAATAAAACAAAGTGAAAAATTATTTAGCCTCTTGGATGGAAAGATATGCAATAAAACAATGCCATATTACTTAGTTTGAATAGTAAACGTATTGATGAGGGTTGGGGATGCTTATCTAACTTGTAAAATTGCAAAAAAAAAAAAAAAAAAAAATCCCCACTTTGTCAAATTTCTCTACAAATTGTCACTAATCTTCAGGATGTTATTTGTGGATGTAACAGTTCACAAATTTTGCACGTCTTGGATGCTACACACAGTGAAATGTGGGTATATTGCTTTACCGGCTGAAATTTCATTAGCCAGTACTTTCCAGTGTTCTCTACAATGTGTTTCTCTTGTTATCTTTCATTTCACTTGTATCCATGTGGGAAAAACATTTGTTGATTTAATTCATTAAAAATGATCATTTTAAAGCATTTTTGGTGTCTGTTTATGACAGGCAATCACAACCCAGGCTGGCCTTATATCCTGTGCAGCTTTGGGTGACCTTGAACTCTTCTTGCCTCCACATCCTAAGTGCTAGGTTATGATTAGGTATAAACCACTACAACTGGATTCATGTTGTAATTCTTTACAATGCACATGAAAGCTGACAAACATTGAGGTAACATAAATAACAAATGCTACATGCAAAATAGTTTTATTGTTTAATGTATCTTGTTATATTGTAATCCTTAAACTTCATAGTTTATGTGGAAATTGTAATAAGTCTGTCTCCAAGGACACTTGATGAAATATAGCGTTTCCAGGCTTTTCTAGGATCACGGATCCCTTTGATAAGTGGTTAAACCTAAGTTGTGCTATTTCTTCTAAAGAGAACATTGGAACATGTAAATAATCATGAACATTTTGAATATTTCATGGCAGTCATGACATCCTGAAGATGACAGGAGAATACAAAACACCTTCTTCAGAAGAATTAAGTAATTAAGTGTTTGATAATGGTCATCCATACTGCCATCAGGGTATACCTAACATTTGAATAGTTAACGGGGATTCTGTAAAACAGATGTTTATATTTATATTCGCTTTCTTTTAAAAATATTTTGAAATAACTTTTAAAAATATTTTGAAATAAGTGAAACTGTAAAAATTTACTGGGTCCCCATCTTTGATTTGAATGGGAATAGCCCCATAGCGCCTATGTTTGAATGCTTAATCCCTAGTTAGTAGAATAGTTTGGTAAGGAATGGAGCAGGTGTGGCCTTGTTGGAGGAGGTGTGTCACTGGGGCTGGGGCAGGGGCTAGGGCTGGGGCTGGGGCTAGGGCAGGGGCTGGGGCAGGGGCTGGGGCAGGGGCAGGGGCTGGGGCAGGGGCAGGGGCTGGGGCAGGGGCTAGGGCTGGGGCTGGGGCTGGGGCAGGGGCAGGGGCTGGGGCAGGGGCAGGGGCTGGGGCAGGGGCTAGGGCTGGGGCTGGGCTTTGAGGTTTCAAAACCTCATGCCAGGCCCAGAGTCTTTCTCTTTCTCTGCCTATAGACGGGAATGTAGCTCTCAGTTATTGCTCCAGCGCCTGCCTGCCTGCACGCCACCATGTCCCCCACTATAAGCAAACCCTGATAAAATGCTTTCTTCTAAACGTTGCTCTATCTGTCTAATGTCCTCTGTTGTCTGACACAAGCACAACATGATGATCAAAGCAGACAGATCTATGCTGGCCATAGTTCTGTCAACTAAGACAGAACCATCTAGAATCTCAACAACTATCCCAATAATTTTAGCAGAGTTAGACTATCAATCCACTATTACTTGTACATCTCAGGTCTTATAAATGTTTTCATTTTCTCCATCTATTTATTAAACATCATCTAAATATTAACAAAAGTAATGTTTAAGTACACAGAGTCAAATAAATTCAGTATCTTTATATTTTGACATTTATTCAATTATGAAAATTATGGTTTAAAAATACTTAAAAATGAAACTTTAAAATTGCACACATATACATATGATGTCTAATTCTTTGGAAGTTAAATAAATACATATATATATGTTATATATATATGTTTGTGACTATGTAGAGAAAGTATAATATATTTTAAACATGTTTATCTGTAGATTGTGAAGATTTCATGTGGTTTTTATTTTTAATCCTTTTGTCTAATTTGCAAATTTTCTTCTATGAAATTCTACTTTCTAATTGTTGAAAATTATAAGAACTCATCTATCAATAACTCCCTGCCTGTATTAGATGGTTATTTTTTTTTTATTTTTATTAGTTGGGTTTTATTTTTCTTTTGAGGAAGTTTCTTGTTATGTGTCTCAGGCTGGCTTCCAATTCTCCACCCTCCTGCTTCAGCCTCCCAATCCTTTGGATTCTAGGCATGCCCACCACACCCAGCCTGAAGCCTTGATTCCTCAGAATGCTCTTCCAGGGAGAGACATATGCTGCAGTGGGCATCATTTCTCATGCAACAATGTAATTTGCTTTGAACTGATTAGTAAGTAAATTATGTATATAACCTATATGGAGAGAAGGGAAAAGTAGAACTGGAAATATTCTTGTTTACATTCCTCAAAAATGAAATTGGTAGGGAGTTCACATAAGGGAGATGATCTAATTAGCTTGAAACTTGATTCTTGCCAGTGAAGAAGCCCAATAATTATGCCACTTTTATGTCCCCATGTAGAATCACAGACAAAACAATAACTTACCCATTGTCTGAATTGTTTTATACCTGTAGTCAAATTCATCTTGCAGATCTTCTAAGTATTTGGTGTCTTGTTCTGTCATCTGTGTACAAAATAAAACATGCTCAAAAGAAAATACCAAACTATGTGGCAATATTTAAGAAACCCATAGAAACAGCATATATACTTTCAAATAGTACACTGGAGGTCCCAGCCTCCAATAGTATCTTTAAAATATCTATATTTTATGTTTATGAGCACACATGTATGCAGTGTCTGAGGAGGTCAGAAGAGGGCATCAGGTTCCCTGGAACTGGAGTTGCCACCTGGGAACCAAACACAGGTCCTCTGCAAGAGAAGCAAGCTTTATCCACAGAGCTATCAAGCTCTTAGCCATTGAGCTCCCCCCCCCCCCCCGTCTGTCTCTGCCCGCCTCTCTCTCTGCCTCTCCCAACTTTCTTCCTTCCTGATTAGGAAATCATTCAGCAGATTTTTTTCCCCTCATTTTCTCAATTAGTTACAAGAGCTGCTAACCACATAACTTCATTGCTGGAGAAAACTAATCCTTTTGTCCTCTCAGGTTTTGCTTCTCTCTGTACTAGTGTACAATAACCAGAGAAGTACAGATTATGACAATGCTGCCCAGGTAGTTTTTCTTTCTATTTCTTAAAATAGGCCCCCATTTGTTTTACTTGTGTATTTGAGCTTTTTACTTTTTTCTCCAAATCCATTAATGTTCCCAGTTCAGTCATAATAATTGAGATCTTGAGTATTGGTTTTCATGTATCATTTCTAGCCCTCTCACTACTCTCAGGAGCATCAGGAGCATCCACTGTATCCATTCCTGTCCACTGTATCCATTCATGCTTTTGCAGACAAAGAAACAGAGGCTTGAGCTGATGGTGGTGCACTCCTTTAATCCCAGCACCTGGGAGGCAGAGGCAGGTGGATCTTTGTGAGTTTGAGGCCAGCCTGGTCTACAGAGTGAATTCCAGGACTGCCAGGACTACACAGACAAGAGAGAGAGAGAGAGAGAGGGAGAGAGAGGGAGAGAGAGAGAGAGAGAGAGAGAGAGAGAGAGAGAGAGAGAGAGAGAGAGAGAGAGAGAGAGAAACAAGCTTAATTATGTGAGTGAGTTGTATGTCTTGGGAGACCTAGCAGCACAGCTGTGGCCCCCAAATCCAAACCAGACTGCCCAATTCTGCATTTAGACTGCTTCCCTCATCCCAAGAGGTCTTCTCTAAGGAAGCATACATCCTCCCCTTTCTGCAAAATTTCTCAGTTTTGCCATTTAAATTACTGATTAGGAAAACTACCAAATCTGGGGTCAGTATAAGTTTATGCCTCAACTCTGTGGCTAATTGAGTTTATGAACTTGAGCATAAATCTATGTTTCAAACTTTAGCCTCTGTTTTTTGGGGGGGCTTTTGTTTGTTTTTTCTTGTTTTGTTTGTTTTTAAGACAAGCTCCATGTATCCCTGGCTTTCCTGGAACTCGCTATGTAGACCACACTGGACGAAAACTCAGAGATGCTCCTGCCTCTGCTTACAAGTGCTGGATTAAAGGTGTGCTCCGCAGTTCATAAAATGTGTGTGCCCCTGTTCATAGAAAAGAGAGGTGAGAGGGAGAGAAGAAGAAAGGGAGGGGAGGAGAGAGGAAGGGGAAGAAATGGAAAGGAGAGGGAAAGGGAGGGAGAAAGGGAAGGACAGAGTTACATTTGCTTCAGGGAGCCTTGTCAGGTCACACAAGTTGTATATAGTGCTTAAAACATTGCCTATTCTCAAGCACACGACTCGCCAACATCCGTTATGATTCCTCTTTTCCTCTGTTTGCTGTTTCATGCTCTCGACATTTTAAATAATAGAAAAGGCATTGGCTATTGACTCTGCAGTATACTGTCCACCTGATGGCAACACCACAGTGTCCCACAGCTTCATCAGGTCTGAGTCTTATACGCATTGTCCTCTTGGCAACCTACCACAAAAAATATTTCTCTTTTGCATATAGAAAAACTCATAGGCACGTGGCAGGAAGCACTCGGGTGAGAACGCAGAGCCATCTGGAGCTAGTTTAGCTTCAGTCTTCCCTGTTTCTAGCCCCATGTCAGCACACTTGCAGCGTTTCACTTGGATGTTACATTTCTCAAGAGCAAAGATCTACTAGAAGATGGGGAACTCACATACTCGAGAGAGATATAAAATTAAATATAGTTTTAAAGCAGAAATACATTGTTTGACCTCAGAATTAAAAGGTGTTTTCAGAGTCTTTTAACCAAAAAGCTAAAGAAATAAAAAGTACATTAAACCATGCCTTTAAAAAGCAACAGTAAAGTATTGTCATCCGTTATAGCAAATTGTTTGCAAAAATGGTAATAATTTGCAAAAGCTCTCATGATGGTCAAAAATCCTTTTGTGAATGCTACAGTCTAGAACACTCTACAGAGAGGGGGAGGTTATGGTCTAAGTGGCAAAGTCCATTGGTGGAAAACTACTGCTCTGTCTAGGGGTCAGGTCTGGCATCATGGGATCAGAGTCTGTGCCCTAGCCTGGGTTCAGGAATCTAATGAGGGTGTGTTCTCAGAAAGAACAACCTGAATAGGAATAAGATAGGAAGGAGCTGAGCAAGAATGTGGTCTGTATTGGGCTTCAGCTTGGACCCCATAAGGAACTCAGGGGCATGATCTGAGCCACAGAGTTAACAGCAGTGTGAGTGCAGATCTGGTGTTTTCTTTTCCACTGTGCCATTCACTCTGCATCCGAAGATAGCTTAGCCTTCCCTGGATAGGCAATTTCAAAGAAGCACTTAGCCAGTATTCACAGACTTGGGATAATATGTGGGCCTGAGGGAAAAATCAGGGTAGAGCTATAAATAGTGACCAAAGATCTCAGGAGTTAACAAGGGCTCCGAGAATGATGGAGCTCAGTGGCAGAGAACTGGCTTAGTATGTACCAAGTCCTGGATTCAGTCCTAGTATACACCAGTACCCACAAAATATACCAGAGACATCTGTGTACTTGATTAGTGTGCAGATGTATCATTATTATAATACAATAGTCAGTGTCCGCTTTTACATACTCATGGAGTCAGTACAGTCCTTGGTTTAACAATGGCCTGAGGTCAACACTGAAAATCTGATTCTGTTTTGCCATGGTGGGGGCAAAGACATGTCTGCTTGTTTGCTTGTTATGGAAGATCATTTAATTGATGGTCTGGAAATAAAAGCTCAGAAGTCCATTCACTTAAACTCCACCTACAGTTCAGTGTATGGAGAGCTTTACCTTGGTATGAATTGATTTGGTTTTAGAGAATTGTTATTTCCATAGAAAGACAACAAGCAAATGAATACTACATAGGTTCTGGAAAGAGAAGTTGGGATTATCCTTATATACAACACAGTGGAAAGTCCATCCCCCTAAAAATAATCTTTTCTAAGTCAATGAAAGTAACAAATCTATAAGACCAATAGGGAGGACAAACCAAAATGTACCAATACCGAAGGAAATAAGTGACATAATAAGGTTTACAAATAAAGGTTAATAATAGACTATAGAGCTCAATTAGATGAAATGTATACACTTTTTAAGAACCACAAGTTACCAAACTTACTCTAGAAGACATAGTGTGGCAACTCAATATCAGAAGCAAGTTAAGTTTAAAATCCTTATGTAAGAAACATGAGAAGTATGCGAGAAACACTGTCCTCTGAGATCTGTCTGCACTGGCCTGTGGCACACAAGCTGCCACTAGCTTTTCTAGGCATCTACCTAAGGCCATCACCTGAGACATCTACATGAAGACACCTGAGACATCTACCTAAGCCACTCACCTGAGACATCCACATAAAGGCACTCACCTTAGACATCTCATCTAGCTAAGCCATTCCCCTGAGACATCCAATTAAATCACTCCCCTGAGATGTCTACATAAAGTCACTTTTACCTGAGACATCTACCTAAGGCCACTCACCTGAGACATCTATATAATGCCACTCACCTGCACGCTGTTTTTAATGGCAGCCACTTTGTGCTCTATATTTCTCTGTCTTTCTGAAACTGAAGAATTTTGTAAGGATTTCTCCAGAGGTCCCTGGAAAAAGAATGTATTGAAATTCCACTGTCACTGATAAAACATGATTATGGTTATTGTAAAGGACATACTACTTTGACCTGAGGTTTAGATCAATGGGATACAAAATATTCTGTGGTCATTAAAATTCCTGTTGAAAGAGCTGGGCATATAACCCACTGGCAGAGAGACTGCACAAGGCTCCAGGTTCCCACTCCCATAACAGAAAAAAAATTATGCTTGTAGTGTCCACAGTCAGAACAACTGAAGATTTTCTCAGATTCATATGAAAGGACAAAGAGAATGTTAGTTCTGTGTCTTTATTTCTGTTGGTTGAGGACAAGTGGTGCCCCATGTTGGGTGCCACTTGACCCATACACATACCTCATATTGGGTTCCACTCATCCTCAACCAGTAGAAGACAAGAAATAAAGAAGAAGAAGCAGCAATGGCTGAGCCAAGGAGATGATCACTTATGCCAATTAACTTCATTATGAAGTATAGCATCATATATACTATTTGGGAGAGGTGGAAGCCAAGGTCACATAGACCTCAGTCAGGCAATATTGGCATGGGAAAAAATGGGATACCTCAGACAGTTGCCTAAGGACAGATAACCGCAATCCAGGGGCAATAGTTTGGTTCCAATTATCTACAACTTGGCTCCTCGAAGGCAATGGCTCTAGTCCTAACCAGCTTTGATAAACCCACTCCTGGACAAGGATACAGAACTAGTTTCCTCTGTCCTTTCATTGGGACCTTAGAGAAAATTTTGGGTCATTCTGTCTCTGGACTCTGTAGAAAATACTAAATAACGTTATGTAGACAGTATTATAACCTAAACAACTAAGCAGATTATAAAACACTATACATAATTTCTACTTTGATATTCATGTTGGTATATATCTAAGAATATGACTATATGCATCGATACTTGGAATTAAGTAGGTATGACAAAAATAGCACATATACCAAAATGTAATACTAACACTAAATAGTAAAATTATGTGTCATTTTATAATTTACAATTTTATTCTTTGTGTGTGTGTGTCTCTGTCTCTGTCTGTCTGTCTCTCTCTCTCTCTCTCTGTGTGTGTGTGTGTGTGTGTGTGTGTGCCACACATGTGACAGCAAAGTCTAGAAGTCTCATGCCCTGCAGCAAGAATTATGGACAGTTATGAGGTACCCAACATGGGTGCTATAAACTGAACTGAAGTCCTCTGGAAGAACAGCAAGCACCCTTAACCATGGAGCCATCTTTCCAGCTTCTACCTCCATGATGTAAAAACTGCTCATAATTTCTTACAGTCTATTTCCATTACTCTTGGACTTCATGTAAGTTTAAATTAGTGTTATAAGATCACATTCACTTGGGCTTAAATTAGCAGTTAAGGGTGTTGAACCTCCTGAGATGTGATTTATTTTTACTTTAAAGCAAAGGGAACATACTAAAGAAAATGGAAAAATGATTTGGTTAAGCAGAGAGGCCAAGTGGCTCCTCCAAGCTCTGTGTCTTGGCCACACTAATAATCTGACCCTGAGTGGCACCTCAAACACAAAGTTCACAGCTATCTGAAGATGGGAACAAGACATGTGAGCAGCCACCTGCACCATACAGATGTGCAGAGAACGGGGTTACAAAGGTTGATAACTTGACAATACATAGCAGAGCAGTGGTGGGACCTCAAGGAAAGCTCATGCTTTCAACTCTGGGTGGAGTGTCTTATAACTACTATTCCACACCCTTCAGATTAGGAAACAAACTCCCTTTCATCATATCCATCTCCATTATTCCATTTTAAATCTCCCTACTTGAAATTAAAAAAAAAATTGCCCAGTCCGTTGTTTACGGTAGTATGCAATATTAACATATTTTGGGTTACTTTGATTAGTATGTACTTCAATGTTTTGACTTGACTAATATTTGACATTTGGAGAGAATAGAGAATATACACAAGACACACACACACACACACACACATACATATAAAGGGAGAGAGAGAGAGAAGATGGGAATGAGTATATATATATGTGACAGGTATAAAAATGGGCAGCTCTAAACAGTAGCTTAGAAACTACAGTTTTCAAATGAAAACAATGTCGTTCTTTAGCATCCAAGAATAATTAGTTGATAAAACTTGAAAGTCTTTCAAAAACATCCATAACCTGATAGTAACTTGAATTTTAAACAGTTAAAAATATGCTTTTGTTAACTCTTCATAAGTTGTATGACTAAAGTATGGAGAATGTCATTAGAAAATGTATTGTTTTCACTTGTTTAGTTAGCCATACCCCAAGATAGTTTATCAGCTGGAGGAGTTCTGTGGTGGAGTTTTTAGGTCACTTATATAAACTATCATATCATCTGGAAATAGTGAACGCTTGTCTTCTTCCTTTCCTATTTGTATCCACTTGATCTCCTTTTGTTGTCTTATTGCTCTAGCTAGAACTTCAAGTACAATACTGAAGAGATGTGGAGTTGATAACCTTGTCTTGTTCCTGATTTTGGAGGAATCACATTGAGTTTCTCTCCATTTAGTTTGATGTTGGCTGTTGGTCTGCTGTATATTGCTTTTATTGTGTTTAGAAAATGTATTGTTTTATGAACTTTTTGTTACAGGATTAACTGAGAAGTGTGCCCTAGAGACTGTTGACTCCTCTACTTACTACCATTGCTAGGTTCTTAACACATTCAGAAGAATGAGATAGAATATAGTGTAAACTACATTAGGGCAAAGAAGAGTCAAACAAGAACTTAGAGAACTTCTGCAAGTCAAAATTCCTGTTGGAGAAGTAGGTACTGAAGCGTTATTTGAGTCCAGGCTGTGAAGACAGACACACGGGGAGGCAGAGTCCAAACTGGAGCTGGGAATTGGGAATCTAACTGAAACTCGATCACTGTGTTCCTAGATTAATATTGTAAAATCTTAGACCAGAAGTTAGCCATGGAAATAGAAAGAAATATAGAGTGACCAGTCTAGTGCCACACATCTCCCACATTTGGAAGGAAGACAGAAAGATTCCAAATACAATGCAAGCCTCAGCTAATTATATAGGAATGTGAAAAAACTTGGTAATTGTGTCAATATGCAAAAAAGATTAGAAACTTTTCAAAGATGAGCCCAAGACCGCGGGCATGAGTGCCTGGGAGGCTGGTTGAACCAGCTACACAGAAGAAGCTGATTTTGCAGAAAACTAAACTCAAGGAGAAAGCAAGATCACAAACTCAGATACTATTACCTGGTAAGTCAGCAATGCAGTGGATAATGCACACAACTATGGATCAGAAAACGTTACCTGGATAGGCATGTTGGCTGCAGCCAATATTCTCCTCTCTTCCCTTAAACAATTAGAGATTACCACAGCTACATGCATTGGATTTCCGTGAAACTTTCCCTGAAAAATAGTAAGCAAAAACAGCATAAAAAGCTTTGAAGAAACACATATAAGTTATAAGGCAGTGCCATACTTGAAAACAATAATCTCCTTACACAATTATTGGGATCTGTTCCAGAATCTACTCCTTTACAATGTCATGAGTTGTTTTTGAGATATGATACCTCTGTGTAGCCTTGGCTGTCCTGGAACTCACTCTGTAGACCAGGTTGGCCTTGAACTCACAGAGTCATCTGCCTCCTGAGTGCTGGGATTAAAGGTATGTGCCACCAATGCCTGTCATATCCTAGACTCTTAATGAGAGAATGCTGATATCTTTGCTTTCCAAACTCTAAATAGTTGTTCTTTGAACTCTTCTTTATGTAAGAGCCTGAACACACTGGAGGGCCAGTTTACTTTAGGCAATAGGAAGGCTTTAGATATGGTGGTTATGTCCCTATGAGTTCTCAAGAAGGGTACTAGCTGTACATGTGGCAGCTCTCTGCTTCAGGCTAACAGTTTCTGCTGTGATCCACAGTTGATGACATTCCAATCAACTACCTCATAACTAACACTGTACTCAAGCAAAACTACACTCACATTTCAGCAGTAGTATTTTGACATTGAAGCATGCATACATTTTATCACCAAGGTTAATGATGCATATATTGTTAATTGGCAGCCCAAGGCACTAATCAAGCCATCAGATACGTTTTTGTAAATGGAAATTAGGAATCCCTTCAGATTGTGTCAGTGCCTAGCAATGAGCCTGCACTCATTTATTTATCTACAAGAGCTGTGTCCTCTAACCTTGATTTGCAGGACTCCCTGGAACACCATCATTTAACCCATAGTGTTAAAACCTCTTTACTAGACTATTTTGAGGAAAGATTAGCAAAAGGCACAGGAGACAAGCACACTAACTGAATCTCTGCCCTCCTCTCTTGAAGTGGTACTGAGACCCATGAAATGGCCAAAAGATCAATAGCAAAATAAATAAATAAATAAATAAATAAATAAAATTAACAGTCCAAAAATCAGAAAATTAACAACAATCAAAAACTCAAAAACAGATTATACACACAGCTAAACCAAAGGATCTTTCTGGGTAGAAAAATGAGGGTTATTGGTTGTAACTTCCATGATAATATCAGATTCTATATCAATTAACATTTCCATTTATGAAATTGGGTCCCTGTTCTTCCACATTCAGTCTTTAAAAATCTTTTCCTTCTTTAAATCAGAAATTTCTAGCATAAAACAAGGGGATTGACTGAAACTTGGAAGGTACAGACATGAAAGTGACCCTGCTCAGTTTGTGGGAGTGTACCATGTTTCTATAACATCTACAACTTCAGAGTCTATTTGAGTTTGTTCCTGCTAATCTTGGCACCTCTTGGATCTTTTCATTTGCTTGTCTTTAAGTGTTTTCCCCCAAACCTATGTCTTCTCATTTTTCCCTGAAGGGCATTAGGAATTGTTTCATTGGTTAGAAGAAAGGGTTATTATTTTCAGGACTAATTTGGAAGCTCTGCTATTAATATAAATTGAGAATTTGTACTTCTGGGGTGAAGGGTCCCTCTAACAGTGCAGGTACATTTTGTGTTGTCTTTGTTCTTCTCTTTATGGAAGATCTCCCATTGAGGTGCTGTCCTCAACACTCTGCTGTGCTCAGCTCATCTTCATTCTCCTGTCAAATGTAATCTTCCTTTACCTTCCTCTCTGCTCCATGCCTTGTGAAGTTAAGGCATTTGTTTCTTTCCTTTGTTAAGGGTCAAGCATCAGCCCTTTTTTCATCGAAGAATATGTTTTTCTTTTCCTCTTCAACACCCCCTAATTCAATGCCTCACTTAAATATTCACGAAAAAATGTCGTATGAAAAAACACTTGGTATTCAACATCAAATTACGATTTCACTTTCCTCAGTATTAAAGATGTGTTCATGTTCACCTTTGAGTAGTGGCTATGTATATATAACCAAGAATAGCAATAAAATGAACCTCAACATGTGTTGGTGACAAGGAAAAGAGCAATTTCTCAATTACACAAGGGTGTCCTACTTCTTCCTATGTCAAGGTATTGTGAAGGCCATGCTCTCTGCAGTGTCCTCTTACTGTCTCCTAATGTCAATCAACAGAGGCTTTTAATTGCAGCAAAGTTGGCTTTATTAGTCTTTCCCCCAGCGATTAGGACTTTTAATGATGTGCTTAATAAACCTTTTACTAAGTTTCTGGAGTGGGGATTGTGTGTGTGTGTGTGTGTGTGTGTGTGTGTGTCTTTTTCAGTCTAAATGAGTACTGTGATTGTAGGTTGTAAACATTCTTACATTCTATGACTGATGCTACAATTTTATCACTGCACATTCTAGCCAGCCCTTCTATTTGTAGAACAAGGGTAACTTTGTAATATTAAGAGTAACAACACTAGTAACTCTAATATACTAGCTTTGTTGTTAATTGCATTTTGTTTGGAGCTTTCTAGTGAGGAGGGTTTCTTTAATTTTTCCTTTGGATATGCAGTTCCAACAAGATTCATTGAGAACCGTTGTTCCCAGTTCTGGCCCAATTCTGCCGGAAGTCCCCTGTTCCCACCAACATGAGAGGTCTTCTTCTTGTCCTTGCTTCCATCTTAGAGATCCATTTCTGTGTAATCAGTGAGGTTGTCACTGGAGCTTTCTGGGAAGTCCTGATAGCAGCAAAATAGGGCTTTTTGCATTTTCATACAAATTCCAGAATCAGCTTGTAAGATTCCTTCACACACACACACACACACACACACACACACACACACACACACACACACTCATACCTCTCAAACATTCACACAGTCTCACACACAATTTAATATACACAACTCACACACCCCACACAATCTCATACACACCTCACAAATTCACACAAATTTCTCTCTCTCACACACACCTCACATATTCACACACACACACACACACACACACACACGTCACACACCTCATATTCACACATTCACACAATCTCATCCACACACATATACATACACACTCATACATACATATACACACCTCACACATTCACACAATCTCACACACACACACTTACATACCTCACCCATTCTCACACACACACACACACACACACACATACACACACACACACACACACACACGATCACTATTTTCAGTTTCAATATCACTGGATCTTTAAAACAGTTGAGGAGCATGCATATGGATTTGTTCTGATCCAGCCACATCAGGATTGTAAATGTCTCTGTATTAAATATTTTTAATTTCCCATAGGACAGCCAAAACATCTTTTGTTGGGGCTCCTTCTGTTTAGTCGATACTGTTTTGATATGAGAATATCTGATACTTTCATATTGTGGCTGTTACACAGAAACAGTTAAATTTGTGTTTTGATTTTGAGTATAGCCAAAGTTGCTGACTTCTATGGATTCTAATGATGTATTTGTAATATTAGTTTGAAATTCTAAATTTTTATCTGTGGATTTTTCTAGATTTTTCTATACCCACTAATCAGCTCTTGTGCAACATTGCCAGAACCCCCACCCTTTTCAATTGTCTCATTTCTATCTCACCTTCAAGACTTGTTTGGAAGTATAGTGCTTAATTTCCAAACACAGGGATCTTCTACTTTTCCTACAACACAACTTATTTTGCTTGTTTTTGTTTTGGTGGCAGGGTTTCTCTCTGTAATAGTCCTGGCTGTTCTGGAACTCGATCTGCAGACCAGGCTGATATCAAACTCACTGAGATCTGTCTGCCTCTGCCTCCCAAGTGCTGGGATTAAAGGAGTGCACCACCACTGCCTGGCTTCACAACGTCTACCCTTGAGTTTTGACTATTCCAATGGCCTCAGCCACTAAGTTTGCTGATATCTGCTTTGTGATCCAGCATATGGGTAACATGTAAAAATTTCGTGCTAACTTGCAAGGAATGAGGGTTCTATAGTTGTTGGGAACAAATAATTTATTCTGCTTTATTAAGCCAGATGTCATTTTGCATGAATTTCTGTCTTGGTGCTGGCTTGTTTTAACTATCAATTGTATAAGTTGTTGAAAAATTATGTCAAAAGCTGCTTTGGAAGTTGTTCTATTTCTGATAGAAATATTTGGATATATAATATATTGCTTGTTATTAAAGTCCTTCATGGCTATGAGCTGACCTTTATCTCCAGTAATGGTTCTTATCCTAAAGCAAAATGACTATGACATAATGCTTTTTAGTCACAAACATTTTAACTCATTTGAAGAACTCTATTTTAAAGTGGATATAGATACTTAATTGAGCAAAATATCATAAATGCATAAAATAGCAAATACATGTGAAATAAACATGGCTAACACATTTCCAACCCTTCTTTGCATATTAAGAATTAACTTTTCTGAACCTCATTTAAGCTCAGATTCATAGCCTGCTGTATTTTCCACAGAGCAGTCCTTCAGGATGTCCAGACACCAGCGATACATTTCTCTAGAGCACAGACAGCTATTCTCTCCTTTCTGTAAGGTTTCATACTGGAACTATCACCAGAAGTTCTCAGTAGCAGGTTTTCAGATGAGAACTGCCCTTGGAATCCCTTCCAGGATGGCCAGCTGGCTTGTTGACTGACAGACACACTAAGAGTTTTAGTGGTCTAGTCATATCATCATGATTGCCAACCACATCACTGCTCAGTTGGGGAGATTGCTATAAACTGCTCACCTAGCTGTCCTTTTCCACCTATGGCTCACTTCCGGTGAAACCACTGAGGAGCTTCTTTTGTTTATGTGTAGGAGTGTTTTGCTTGCATGTAAATATGTGTACCCTGTGCAATCTGGTACCAGCATAAGTCAGAAGATGGCATCAGATGCCCTGAAACTGGAATGACAGTTGCTTGTAAACCATGTGGGTGCAGGGAATTGAACCTGGGTCCTCTGGAAGAGCAGTAAATGGTCTTAATCTCTGAAACATCTCTCCAGCCCCTGTTATTGTTCTTAGATATTGTTGTAGAGTTTAAATTAAATAGAGTGCAATTGTAGTAATC